GATTGCACGGTCCCTGCTGGGTCGCACAGGCTTCTCTGCTGCTTCAGCACCCTGCAGGTCCCATGGGTAACTGGATTGCACAGTCCCTGCTGGGTCACACAGGCTTCTCTGCTGCTTCAGCACCCTGCAGTCCCATGGGTAACTGGATTGCACAGTCCCTGCTGGGTTGCACAGGCCTCTCTGGTGCCCCTGCACCCTGCAGGTCCTGCAGGCTGGCAGCTGGATTGCACCAGTCTCTCTTGGTCTCAGGCTTCCCATTGCTCTTGTGCTACTGGACAGCACAGGCCTCTGTGGAGCCCTAGGTCCTGCCGCTGGTTGCTGGGGAGTGCTGCTGCACCATGGGGCTCAACTCCTGCTCAGCTTTTGCTGTAGGTTTTGGGGATTGGTCTCAGCTGCTGGTCTGTGCTTCTGTTGCCTGGGGATGGATGTCTGCTCCCCAGCCTCTTTTGCTGGGGGTATATCTCAACTCTGATTGGGCTTCTTCTATGGGGGACAGTGCTGGGCTCCCGGCCATCTGCGACTTCCGCGACCGGCACCTTGGCAGCTCCACTACTGTGCACTGGCCTGTGTTGACACAGAGTGTCCACTGGTCTGATGGTGCCAGGTACGCTTGTGGCTCAGGTTGCTGGGCCCCAGCTGCTCCCACTGCCTCCTCTCAGGGAAGACCTGGGATCTTCCAAAATTGTGGGACCTCCCCACAGCACAGGGAGAAGTGCCCTGAAGAGCCACTTACCAAGGTAGCCAGCTGCTCCATCCACAGCACAGGAACCTTCTGCTATGTGTCTCTGCACTGCTGGGGTTTGGTCATCCACCTTCACGTCTACTCACACTCTCTCACACACTCGCTCACTCTCTCACACGCTCACCCTCCCTCCGGTCCTGCCCGCTGCCATCTTCCATCCGGAACCCTCTTTATTGATTTTAGAGAGAGAAGAAGGGAGGAGAGAGAGATAGAATTATCAGCCACATCCTGGGCATGTTTCTTGACTAGGAATCAAACTGGCGACTTCTTGGTGCATGGGTCGACACTCAACCACTGAGCCACACCGGCCAGGCCAAAAATGAGATTTATTCCCTTAACTGCATCTGTCCTTGGGTGTGGTTGGCAAATGACACTAATTTGATTTCTGCTGTCTGTCTCCCTGAGCAGGTGATCTAAGCTATTTACCCTCTGGTTGGGGAGGAGAAGCAAAGCATTTACTCTTGAGTGTCCCCGTTTAGGGAAGGCGGGGTTTACCAGGTGGCTGCTGTTTAACTGCCTGTCTCTGTCTCCCTGTCCCACTTGTCCTGGCTCACTGGCCTGTCTCAAGAGCACTGGCCTCATAGCAGGCTGGCTCCCTCCTTCTGATTTCATGTAACCGTAGAGTTTTCAGTGGCCTCCCCTTCGGGTAACTGACCACAAGAAAAGCCTTCATTTTATTGGCTAGAAATTGAATCAGAAATTTTACTTCAAAGAGGAATTTATTTTTAAAAGTTCTTTGACCCAGAGCTCCATGCCCAGCTCTCTCTCAGCGACTTTGGGTGCAACCGTTTGACCTTTCTGGGCCTCAGTTTCCTCCTCTTTAAACAAAAACCACAACAGTGAGGCCAGTGTGGCTCAGTGGTTGAGCAAGACCCCTGCACCAAGAGGTCACCAGGTTGATTTCCCATCAGGGCACATGCCCAGGTGTGGGCCTGATCCCAGGAGGGGCCTGCAGGAGGCGGCCAGTCGATATTCTCTCTCATCGATGTTTCTCTCTCTCTCTCCCTCTCCCTTCCTCTAAAAATCAATAAAGAAAAAAAAATTTTTTAAACCACAACAAAGAGAAGTGGCTGTCTGCCCTCTAAAATTCGTGGAACGCGGTGTGTGAGAGATGTCTTCACCTGCTCACCCCCCTCCAGGCGCCCAGGGTTTAGAGAACGTGAACTATGTGAACTGCTGTTTCAGGACAGAGATTCTCGGGACCCTGTTTGTTTCTACGCATCCTTCGGGGGAGGGGTGGGAGAGGCTACCTGCCCGGACTGCAGCAGACCGCTAAGCCGCTGGGCTGAGGTCTGACTCTGCACGCGTGCTTCTCAGAATGTAGCCCCAGACCAGCTGCATGGATTCGCCTGGGAACTTGTTAGAAATGCACATCTTGGGCCCCCCAAATCTGCTGAAGAGAAGTCCTGGGGTGAGCCCTGCAGTCTGTGTTCTCACCAGTCCAGGTCTGCACTGGCCACGGGGGGGGCCACGAGCCACATGTAGCTACCGAGCCCCCGAAATGCAGCGATTCTGAATTAGGTGTGCTGGAAGTGTCACGCAGGCTGCATGGCGGACTCACTCAGAAAAACACGAGCAAAATACGTAGTAAATTTTAATATGGACATGTGTTAGATATTTAGACATACTGAGTTAAAGGAAATACATTATTAAAATTAATCTTACTTGTTTCCTTTTGCTTTTTAAAAATATGGCTACTAGAAACTGTAAGGTGACACGTGGTTCTCGTTATATTTGGACTGGGCAGGGCTCCAGGCAATTCTGATGCTGGGGTTTGGGGACCTTTCCCCACATGCAGCTATCCAATCTAAAGTGCTCCCAGGCCCCCAGATCTCTGCCACCTGGATGCTCCGTTGTCCACTGTCCACTGTCAGTGTAAGAGTTTATTATGAGTTTACTGGAGCCAAGCAGAGGCTCTGCCTGGGAGCGCCATCCCGACAACGGAGAAATGCTTCCCGGAAGTCAGTGTGCAGCTGCCTTTGTGCATTTGGGATGAAGGGAGCTGGGGAGAGTGTACGGAGGGGAGAAAGCAAGGTGGGGTCGGGTTACAGGACAGTTCAGATTATGTGCTGTCTGGAGAGTGGTTTCACTTGAGGGGTCTGAAAAGAGGCATTTCACAGGTGTGCTCACCTGGGTGCACAGAGACAATGGACAGGGCTTGTTTAAGGCAAAGGTAGACCTTTCACTGCGGAAGTTAGAGGCCTGGGGCAGGACCACCCACCATGACCTGCCCAGGTAGGAATTTATGATCCATCACCTGTGAGGTGACTCTTGGTCACTGTATTTGCCAGATTTATTACAGAGCCTCCAGCTGATTAATCCCTTCCTTGTGCAATTATTTCCATAATTAAAAGTCATCAGGTGCGTTGCAAGCATTTTATCTTATTTAAATACACCAGCAACCCCTTATATGGACAGATGGGAACCTGTGGCCTTTCAGGGTGGCCACACAGCCAGCCTCTGCACCTCGTCCTCACCCGGGTTGGCACCTGCCTTTATTAATCATCCCCTGTACGTACACTCATTTTGGCTGTCTCCCAAGAAGGCCACATTTAGGGTGATGGCTGTGCTGCTGAGGCCCTGATCATCATTGTTGAGCATTATCTCCGCCATCTGTCTCCTGGATGAGGCTACAGGAGGGTTCTCGGCTGTTGAGTTGCCCCATGGGGCCGACCACACGAACGATTCCATTGCTCCTTCCGACCGGGTGAAGACACCCATTGTCAGGAGGAAACACCAGGTCAGGAGTCAGAGGAACTGGTGTCTGGACCAGGTGCAGGCACTGCCTGGCTGTGGGTGCTTTTGGACATGTCACGTGTCTCCTCTGGGCTTCAGTGTGCTGGGCTGGAAACAAGACCATACGCTCTCTTCTGCAGCCCAGCATGGAACGGGAGCCCCTGCCGAGGCAGACAGTACTTCCTTCTCCTTCCAAGGACGTGGCTCCCAGTTCTCCAACCACGTCGGGGTTTAGGACCCAGACCGGAGTTCCTCCTCTCCTCCTCTCCTCCTCCCTCCTCCCTCTCCTGGGACAGAGGGCTGTAGCTGGGTGGCCCCAGCACATCAGGACAATAGCAGGTGTTTTGTTTGTTTTAAGGTTGGGACAGGAAACAGAGCAAAAGCCATCACAAGTTAACAGACATTATCAGATCTGAGTAAGAAGGAAGAATAGTAATTCTGCAGTAAATAAGGAATAAGAAGAAGTAGACAAAATTGGAAAGAAGGGGTTCTTGTGTTAGTGGCCTTAAAACAGTGGTTCTCAGCTGGGGATAGTTTTCCACCCCCAGGGGACATTTGGCAACATCTGGAGACGTGTTTTATGGCCACGCCTGGCAGAGAGTGGGGCGGGGGTCTGCTGTTGGCATCTGGTAAATTAGGCCAGGGACGTGCTAAACACCCACAGTGCTCAGGACGGCCCACCACACAGCACAGACGACCCATGTCAGTCATGTCAGCTCGGCTGCTGCAACACGCGCCAAGGCTGGGCGGCTCACAGCAGAAGCTGATTTCTTAGTCCTGGGGGCTGGAAGCCCAGATCAAAGTGTTGCCAGACTCGTTTCTTCTGAGGCCTCTCTCCTTGGCTTACAGAGGGCCACCTTCTTCCTGTCTTCAGTTCACAAGGTCTTCCCTCTGGGTGTGTCTGTTCTAATCTCTTCTTGTAAGGACACCAGTCACACTGGAGTAGGACCCACCCTGATAACCTCATGTCCACCTAACTGCTCGTTGAAGACCCTCTACCCAAACAAGGACCGCACATTCGGAAGTCCTGGGGGCTAGGAGCCCAACACAGGATTTTTAGGGGGACACAATTCAGCCCATAACACAGCCCACAGTGCCCCGGTGTCACGGGTAAATAACCCTGTAAAACACTGGAGACAGCTGGCAAATCTTAGAGTGGGATTTTAGTAAAATTAAGGGTTTTTTAAAGGCTTCTCTTGCCCTGGCCGGTTTGGCTCAGCAGTTAGAGTGCCGGCCCGCGGACCAGAGAGACCCAGGTTTGTTCCCACTAAGGGCACGTACCTCAGTTGCAGTTTGTCCCCAGTCCCAGTTGGGGTTGTGTCGGTGGCGACCACTCGATGTGTCTCTCTCACGTCGATGTTTCTCTCTCTCTCTTCCTCCCTCCTGCTCTATCTGAGGATAGATGCAGAAATGTCCTCGGGTGAGGCTAAAAAAATAAAGGCTTCTCTTAAGACTGAGCTGAAATTCCCCCTTGCCTGTCTGCATTGCCCCTGACATGGCCATCACTCTGTTCTCCTTTTAGACTGGAGCCCATCGGAGCAGCCGCCAGTAAGGAATACTCTCTGGAGAAAAATTTGGAGAAAATGAAGTTAGACTGGGTGAACATGACATTCAACTTCGCCAAGTACAGAGACACGGTGAGTCTCAGTCCCACTGTCTGGCTCCAGTTTATTGTGTAGTAGGTGACCGAGGAATCCATTCAGAATTGCAACAGAACTCACATGATTGACACACAGCATTTATATAAGTCAGGGTGGACAGTGTGTGGATTTGATACGTTTGTCTATTGCAATATGATGGCCACCCTACTAGTATCACCTAACACCTCTGTTATGTCACATAGTGATCATTTCCTTTTGTGGTGGGAGCAATTATGATCGAGTCTCCTAGCACTTGGAAGGCTTTAATACACTGTTGTTGACTGTACCCATGGTGCTGGGCGTTACATTGTTGCCTGCGGCTGCCTCCCTCTGGGCACTACTGGAGGGATGCACTTCTTTTTCCTGTTTCTTTTTTGTTTTTGATTGCATTGTGTAAGGAGAAATGCCTTTTGATTCGGAGCAACAAGCTTTCTCAGAGCAAAGGAGCTGAGCCAGCTCCTGAAGCAGCATCTCCAGGGAAGGCTGCCCAGACCCCTCAGAAGCAAACCTGGGGTAAACAATACCTAGTGCTTCTCAAAAAAAAATCCCAACTGATTCTTCCTCAGTTCTTCACCCCTGAAATGCCTGTGCATCTGCATTTGTAAGGCTCCCTGGTCTTTCTAAGGTACAGTGTGGACTGAGAACTAAACCCACAGGCTCTCGTAGCCCCTCCCCAGGGCTGCATGTGACTCTCCGCCTTCGGTCCCACAGGCACACGGCCTCGGTTTCCCTTGGATGAGAGCTGCAGATGCGCAGTGGGGGGGGCACCGGCCCTTCCAGCAGGCCAGGCCCTGGGCCAGCAGGTCGGCGCCGCACTGTCTGACTGGGCGTGGCTCCTAGAGGCTGTGGGCGCAGACGAGGACTCCAGTTAGGGCACCTGGGAGTCACAGCGAGTCACTCTCAGCCAGTCTTCAGTTTGTGACCAATGTGACTACAGACGAGGATCAACAGCAAAAGGGAGTCAAGGCTCCACTTCCTTAAAGTGCAGAGCTGCTAGTAGGTAGACGAGCAAAGCACCCAGCTAGGCCTGAAGGACCAGAGTGAGAAAGACCAGGCCTGCCGCAGGGGTCAGACCTCGTCAGCCTGCTTGCCGCGGTGGCCTCGAGGGAAAGCCTCGTGCACAGGCTGACCTCTGAGTCACAGCAACCTCACCTAGCAGCAAAGTATGGCCCCGTACAGGTATTGGCAGAGGGTCCCAAACTTTCCAGGTTCATGTCTCCGTTTGTGTCTAGTACTTTTTTCATTGTTCACCTCCCTAGACAAAGCAGAGTTCACAGCTTTGTTTCTGGAGTAGGTTCAGACCACAAGTACTTGTGTCCTGTCACCTTAAAAGCTGTTTGAAAAAAATACATATAAATGGAAGGAAACACATTTGTATTTACTTTTAAGTAACCACAATTATTGCCTGGCCGGTGTGCCTCAGTGGTTGAGCATCGACCCTACACCAAGAGGTCACCAGTTCGATTCCCGGTCAGGGCACATGCCCAGGTTGTGGGCCCGATCCTCGGTGGGGTCACGCAGGAAGCGGCCAGTCTATGTTCTCTCTCATGATGATTCTGTCTATCTCTCCCTCTCCCTTCCTCTCTCTCTAAAATCAGTAGAGAAAAAATAAATAAAAATGGTAAATAACCACAGTTATTTACTGTGACTTTGCCGCAGTGCCCTGGGCACCTCAGCACGTAGTTGGAGAACCACGGGTCCAGGCCCTGCTGGTCACACTGGCAGCTGCTCCTGCCTGAGGGAGAGCGAGTGGACAGGAAGTAGGAACACAGGGAAGGGCAGAGCTCGTCCTCCCCACAACAGACACCCCTTGCAGCTCTGGACTTAGGCCGTGTTGGATTTCCGCAAAGGAAGTGGAAAATATGTGTCTTTAGGAACATTGTCAAGGAAGAAAATAGAAATCCCATCCCCTGTAAGACACAGATTTCTGTCCCACTGGGGTGGAGATCTGACCTCTACGGTTTTGGGGTGTCAGCACGAAAAGGGGGGAGAATTGCGATTCTGACAGGGTGAGGTGTGTTTATTTGTAGGACACAAGCATCTTGTGTGCAGTCGATGACATTCAGCTGCTCCTTGATGATCATGTGATAAAGACCCAGACCATGTGCGGCTCCCCATTCATCAAACCAATAGAAGCAGAATGCAGGGTAAGAGGGACAGGGCGGGGTGTTGTGTGGCATCCAGGCAGCTCTTGGTTTCTCCAAGGAGGAACAGGTTTTTACATTCTTTTAACAAACAAACAAAAAAAACACATTGTCTCCTGACTGGAAAAAAAAGTAACACAAGACTAAAAGCAAATAACCATCCAAATAAGCATATTGTGTGCTGAGCCTTTGCAAGTCTGCAGAAAGAAAATACGAGATGCTTTGAGTGAACCAAGTGAAAATGTATTTGGAGCCCTGGCCAGTTTGGCTCAGCAGTTAGAGTATCGGCCCGCTGACCAGAGAGACCCGGGTTCGGTTTCCGCTAAGGGCATGTACCTCAGTTGCGGTGCGTTCCCAGCCCCAGTTGGGGTCGTGTGGGTGGCAACCACTCTATGTGTCTCTCTCGCAACAATGTTTCTCTCTCTCTCTTCCTCTCTCTCTCCCTCCTGCTCTATCTGAGGATAAAATGCGGGGGAAAAAAAGGTTGTTGGGTGATGATAAAAATATACACACACACACACACACACACACACACACACATATGGAAAGTATGTGACTATCATCTGGGTTAGAGTAATCTAGAAGGTAAACTACTTGAGGGTAGGGACTTGGCCATGCTTTGTCATTGTTTGTGGAAGTGGCATTGGCTGAGGGCACAGAGTCTCGAGCCAGACTGCCTGTGCTCACACTCTGGCTTCGACAACTACTAGCTAACCTTGGGCAGGTTACTTACACTGCTGTCTCGGCTTCTGCGTTTGTGAAGTGTGTTGTGTAATAATATTTCCATCATAAGACTATTGGATCAAATTGGTTTCACATACATACAGCACTCAGCCCATCACTTGTTATAGAAATGATAATTATATATAATAATAATTATTATTGTACTTATGATTATTCCACCAGAATGCAGCTCCATGACCACCTGTTCCATTCATTGCCTAGAACAGTGAGCAGAACACGGAGGGCACTCATAGTGTTTGTTAAACAAGGGGATGAGTGAATAAATAGGCGTGTGATGCAGAGTGGCAAGTTTAATAATTCAGATATAAAATGCTAAATTTGCAGAAGTGGGAAGAAAAGCTGGTCCGTGTGCAGGACATTTTGGACACCTGGTTGAAGTGCCAAGCCACCTGGCTGTACCTGGAACCGATCTTCAGTTCAGAGGACATCATAGCCCAGATGCCAGAAGAGGGCAGGAAATTTGCCATCGTAGATGGTTACTGGAAATCACTCATGTCCCAAGCGGTAAGCATCTCCCTCCCGGACACGTCACCTGCAGGAACGTGGGATGCCATACTGCTCTTCTCCATTGTACATTATATCCATGCCCCTTAAAACTTGTAGGTAAACTAGATTTTTGCAAATTTGATATTGTTGTATATTTCTTCCAACTTCAAAAATTACAAGTGAAAATTCAAACACGGGTATATGTAATATAGGAAGTGGAAGCCCATGAAACCCCACCTCTCCAGAGGTAAGTACGGATGTTTTTTGTAAATTAACTGTCGTTCTAGTGGAAGACGGTGTATTGCAGGGCAAAGCAGTAGAGCTTTCACAGATGGAGAATCCTTTCAGAATTCAAATGATTGCCCATATTCAGTTACGTAGGTATTTAACAAACGTTTATTCAGTACCTGCGATGGCCCAGGCATGGTACTAGGAGTACACTTGAAGATGACAAGAATACAGTGTCTGCCTTCACAGAATTCACTGTTTTGTGAACAGACAGACTTACAACGATTTTAGAGCACAGAAAAATGATTTGGTAAGAGGGCGACATTGGAAATAGGCCTTAAAGTGTGAATTCACTGGGTGTGTAAGGCTTCTGGGCTACCTATTAAAAGGTGATATTTTTTTTCCTTTTTGAAGTCAAGTGTGCTCAAATTTGGCTGCATTTATAGAGAATTTGTCTCAAGGGAATGTATGTGCCCTGGTTGTCTGTAGGAGACAGATATGTGGTCATTGATATTGCTTGGCCAGCAGAGCCACTTTGTATGATATCCTGCTTCCTCCAACTTCATATCGGCCAAGATTTTTGGTTGCAAGTAACCGACACACACTCAGGGTAGCTCAAACAAAAAGACCAAGGGAGCGTCTCATGGACTCAAGAGCAGAGTGTGTAAGTGGCTCTAGAACCCAGCAATCCCATGGGAAATCATGAGCACTCTTCCTATGCTGGCTTCCATCTCTCTCACTGACTGGCTCACTCTGCCCCTCAGTCACATCCTGGAAGATGACCCTCACCCAGGAGCAAAGCCCCTTCCTTCAAAGGGCCAGCCCAGACTAGTACAGAATGTCATGATCTGAATTCCAAAATCCCAGAGTTAAAATATAATTGGCTTGAGGAGTCAGAAAAGTGGTGGTAGAGTGAATGGAAGCTACACAGACCATCTCCCAGGACCAAAACAAATCAAGCCTGATAGAAACTGTGGAGGTGCAAGCGGGTGGGGTGGGGGGGGGGGAGGAGCCCATGAACAGGAGCTGAGGGCTGTTTCAGCTGAGAGCACTCAGTTCCCTGAAAAGCAAGATCACTAAATCAGTTATAGTCACTCACCTTGGGCTCCCGCAGAGGGGGAGCAGATTGGATTGGAATTGTGTGGAGAGAGTCCTGGGCTCCTGGCTCAGGAGAGAACTGGAGGGAAGAACACCAGGAGTTTTTTGCTGATTCATTCCCTCATGGGACAGTGGACATCTTGCTCAAAGAGCCCCTTCCCAGAGCCACAGGTAGAAGCAACAGCCCCTCCCTAAGGAATTTAATACTACCAGACCAGGCCAGAGAAATACAAAGTGAGGCTCATTAAGAGCTAGAGACATTGCCACACCTGTTGGAAATCCTTTTATCCTCTACAGCTGAGGGACTTTTCATTCAGCTGAGGGCTATAGCCAGAGGCTCATCAGGTAACTGAGAATAATAGCCTGCAGGCAAAAGCTAGAGGATAACTGAACCTTGCTTGGCCTACAAATCAACCCAGGAGTGTAAAACTTGACAGTGGTGTTTTTGTTTTTGTTCTTTTTAATATATTTTTCTTTATTGATTTTAGAGAGAGAGGAAAAGAGAGGGAGAGAGAGACAAAAACATCAATGAGAGAGAACATTGACTGGCTGCATCCTGCATGCCCTGCACTGGGGATCAGGCCCATAACCTGGGCATGTGCCCTAACTAGAAATCAAACCAGCAACCTCTTGGTATGTGGGTCAATGTTCAACCACTGAGCCACACCAGCCTGGTGACAATGGTATTTAATGTGGTTCCTCCCACACTCATCCAAATCCAGTAGAGGAAGCCACAATCAGCAGAACACCAACACCCACAGGGAAAATTTCTCAGGCTCCAAAACCATCTGAGACAGACAAATGGTGAAACAAAGAAACAAATCCCAAATGAAAGAACAAGAGAATTCTGAAGAAGAAGGAATAAATTAAATGGAATTAAGCATGATATCAGAGGCAGAGTTCAGATAAATGATTGTGAGGAACCTCAACAGCATGAGTAAAGATACAGAAACATTGAAAATTAACCAACTGGAAATGAAAAACCACCAAGCAGAAATGAAGAATGACATAGCAGAAATAAAGAACACATTGAAAGGAATAACCAGCAGATTAGAGGAAGCTGAGGATTGCTTCAGTGAACTAGAAGACAGGGTAGAAAAAATCACTCATTCAGAAAACCAAAGAGAAAAAACAAGAAGACAGCTTAACAGAACTGTGGGACAATAGGAAACATAATAACATCCACATCATAGGAGTTCCAGAAGAAGAAAATGAGTAAGGGTTACAGAATATATTTGAAGAAATAGTGACAGAAAACTTCCCTAACCTGGCGAAAGAAAAAGTCATACGAGTCCAATTAAAATGCCAAAAATTAAAGACAAAGAGAGAATCCTAAAGGCAGCAAGAGATAAGCAACAGGTTAACTACAAAGGAACCCCCATAAGGCTCTCAGCTGACTTCTCAACAGAAACACTACAGGCCAGAAGGGAATGGCATGAAGTAATCAAGGTAACAAAAAACAAGGATCTGAGTCCAAGACTACTCTATCCTGCAAGGCTATCATTCAAAATAGAAGGTGAAATAAAAAGCTTCCCAGGAAAAAAAAACACTAAGGGAATATATTAGCACCAATCCAGCAATGCAAGAAATGTTAAAAGGACTGCTCTAATAAGTAGAAGAAATAGGAAGAGAAACATAACCACAATAAACAAAAATGGCAATAAATAAGTACATATTAATAATAACCTTAAATACAAATGGATTAAACACTCCAATCAAAAGACACAGAGTAGCTGAATGGGTAAGAATGAATGACTCAACATATGTTGTTTACAAGAGACCCACTTCACAACAAAAGACTCACATAGGTTGAAAGTGAAGGAATGGGAAAGAAATCTTCCAAGCAAAATGAAAGGGAAAAAAGGCTCAGTAGCAATACTCATATCCATTAAAAGAGACTTGAGGCCTACCTGAAGAAACAAGAAAAATTTCCAATTGATTATCTAACCCTACAACTTAAAGAACTAGAAAGTAAACAAAAGGAAAAACCAAGCCCTGACCAGTTTGACTCAGTGGTTAGAGTGCCAGCCACCGACCAATGAGTTTCAAGTTCAATTCCAGTCAAGGGCACTTACCTGTGTTACAGTTCATCCCTGACCCTAGTTGGGGTTGTGCAGGAAACAATTAGTCAATGTGTCTCTCTCACACCAATGTTTCTCTCTCTCTTCCTCTCTAGCTCTCCCTCCCTCCCATTCTCTCTGAACAAAAAATGGAAATACATCTTCAGGGAGGCTTGAAAAAAAGAAAAGAAAAACCCAGAGCAAATAGAAGGAAAGGAATAGTAAATGCCAGAGCAGAAATAAACAACCTAGAGACTAAAAAAATATTATAATAATAATAATTTTAAAAGATCAATGAAACACAGAACTGGTTCTTTGAAAAGAAAAACAAGATTGATAGACCCTTAGCCAGACTCGCCCAGAAACAAATAAACAAACAAAAAAGGACCTAAACAAAACAGAAATGAAAGAGAAGTAGCAACTAACACCGTAGAAATAGAAAGGATCGTTAAAGAATACTACGAGCAATTATACTGCAACAAATTGGACAATCTGTGTGAAATGGACAAATTTCTAGTCTCCCAAGACTGAACCAGAAAGAGATAGAATTTTTGAACAGACCAATAACAACTAAGGAAATTGAAGATGTAATCAAGAAATTCCCAGCAAACATAAGCCCATGCCCAGATGGCTTCATGGGGGAGTTTTACAGAACATTCAAAGAAGAACTAACACCCATTCTCCTCAAACTATTCCAAAAAAATACAAAAAAAAGGAAGAGTTCCAGATTCATTTTATGAAGCCAACATAATTCTAATTCTAAAACCAGTTAAAGACACTACAAAGAAAGAAAACTAGGCCAATATCCCTTATGAAGATAGAGCCCAAATTCCTTAACAAAATATTAGCAAATTGGATCCAGCAATACATTAAAAAAATTATTCACCATGACCAAGTGGGATTCATCCCAGGGATGCAAAGCTGGTACAATAATCACAAGTCAATAAATGTGATACACCCATAAAAAAAATGAAAATAAAAACCATATGATCATATCAATAGATACTGAAAAACTATTCAACAAAATCTAGCACCCATTTCTGATAAAAATACTCAGCAATGTGGGAATAGAGGGATTATATCTCAATATAATAAAGACCATATATGACAAACCTACAGCCAACATCATACTCAATGGACAAAAACTAAAAGCATTTCCCTTAAGAACAGCAACAAGACAGGGATGACCACTTTCACCACTTTTATTCAACATAGTACTGGAAGTCTTAGCCACAACAATTAGACAGAAGAAAAAATAAAAGGGATCCAAATAAGAAAGGAGGAAATGAAACTGTCATTATTTTCAAATAGCATGATATTGTACATAGAAAACCCTAAAACCCCATCAAAAATCTACTAGATTTTCTAAATGAATTTGTCAAAATAGCAGGATACAAAATTAACATCAAGAAATCTATGGCACTCAGCCTATGCTGCTCAGGGGTTGAGCATCAACCCATGCACCAAGAGGTTGCCAGTTCAACTCCCGGTCAGGGTACATGGGCAGGTTGTAGGCCTGATCCTCCAGTTGGGGACATGCAGGAGGCGACCAATTGATGTTCTCTCTCATCCATATTTCTATCTCTCTTTCCCTCTCCCTTCCTCTTTCTCTAAAAACCAATAAAGAAAAAAATTTTTTTCTAAAGACAGGAAAAGCAACGCAGGGGGAAGAGCAGAGTGGTGCTGGCCTCCCCATGGGTAGTGAGTAGATTCTGGGTGTAAAATCAATCAATCAATCAATCAATCAATAAAAATAAGAAATCAATGGCATTTGTATACACTGATAATGAATTCACAGAAAGAGAAACTAAAAGGACAATCCCATTCACCATTGCAGCAAAATAAATTAAGATACCTTGGAGTAAACTTAACCAAAGAAGTAAAGGATCTGTTTGCAGAAAACTACAAGGCATTGAAAAAAGATATAAAAACATGGAAGCATATACCTTATTCACAGATTGGAAGAACTGACATCATTAAAATATCCATACTACCCAAAGCAATCTATAGATTTAATGCAACCTCCATCAAAATACCAACGACATATTTTACAGAACTAGAACAAATACTCCAAAAGTTTATATGGAACCAAAAAAGACCCCAAATAGCCACAGCAATCTTGAAAAACAAGAACAAAGTAGGAGGGATCACAATACCGGATATCAGATTATACTACAAAGCACTGTAATCAAAACTGCCTGATACTGGCATAAGAACAGACATATAGATCAATGGAACAGAACAGAGAACCCAGAAATTGACCCAACACAATATGCTCAATTAATATTTGACAGAGGTGGCAAGAGCATACAGTGGAGTCAAGACAGCTTCTTCAATAAATGGTGTTGGGAAAATTGGACAGCTACATGCAAAAAAATGAAACTAGACCACCAACTTACACCATATACAAGAATAAACTCAAAATGGATAAAAGACTTAAATATGGCAGAGGAACTAAATAGACACTTCTCCAAACAGGACATACAAATGGCTAAGAGACATATAAAGAAATGCTCAACATCACTAATCATCAGAGAGATGCAAATTAGAACAACAATGAGGTATCACCTCACACCTGTCAGAATGGCCGCCATCAACAAATCATCAAACAACAAGTGTTGGCGAGGGTGTGGAGAAAAGGAGACTCTAGTACACTGCTGGTGGGAATGCAGACTGGTGCAACCACTATGGAAAACACTATGGTATTACCTCAAAAAATTAAAATTTGAATTGCCATTTGACCCAGTGATCCCACTTCTAGTAATATACCCTAAGAAGCCTGAAACACCAATCAGAAAGAATATATGTACCCCCATGTTCATAGCAGCGCTATTTACAATAGCTAAGATCTGGAAACAGCCCACGTGTCCACCATGAGTGAATTAAAAAGCTGTGGTACATATATACAATGGAATACTATGCAAATGTAGGAAAGAAAGATCTCTTATCCTTTGAGGTGACATGGAGGGACCTGGAGAGTATTATGGTGAGTGAAATAAGCCAGTCAGAGAAAAACAAATATCATATGCTCTCACTTTGTTGTGGAATATAATGAACAAAATAAGCAGATAAACAAAATAGACCCAGAAACATAGAAGTAGGGTTCAGACTGACAAACCTCAGAGGAGGTGGGCAGGGGAGAGGGAAGGGATAAACCAAAGAACTTATGTATATCAGCATAACCAATGGACATAGACACCAGTGCTGGGGGGGGGGGGGTAGGGTTAGGAGAAGGGTGTCAATGGTGAGAACAGGAGAAATATCTGTAACAAAAATTAATTAATAAAAAAAATAAAAAACAGGAGGCCAACATTCCAATAAATAAATATATAATTCAACTAATTATGTATATATATATAATTGGCTTGATTGATTTCAGGTGCCCAGCCCTGGTCCAGTCAACCATGGCCAGAGGAACAGAGTCATGTTTTATGAGCACTCATCTTTGTGGGATTGGGAGATACTGAGCTGGGCAAGGCATCACTAATTGATGTGCTGGTCATACAATCATATAATGACCACTCTCAGAATCTGGGAGACCCATGGTGATTCTTGCATTTTTGATGGATCATAGGTGAAAGATGCCAGGGCTCTGGTGGCAGCAGATCAGCCACGCATGGCTGAGAAACTTCAAGAAGCTAACAGTCTGTTGGAGGACATCCAGAAGGGGCTAAATGATTACTTGGAGAAGAAGAGACTGTTTTTTCCCAGGTATTCATTATTGTCCTTTTGTTTGCAGCTGCCCTCTTGACCCATATGTAGGTAGAATTAAAGTTCTCATGCTGAGAGGTGGCTTCTCTCAGTCTCTGCTATATTCTTTTCTAGTTTTCTATTCCCCAAGAGATAGCTCTCAGGGGTAAGGCTTCTCTTCATGATTGTTATTTAGAGTGAGGTTGAATGGACACCAGTGGAGACAAATCCACACCTTGGCCAACTAACATGGTCAGAGACCCAGTTAGCGGAGTATAGTAGCCATGATTAAGGACCTAGACTTTGGAGTTAAACAGACCTTGGGTTGAGTCCCAGCTTTTCCACTTGCTAATCTTGAGACCTTCAGCAAATCCAGCCGAGCTTCAGGTTCCCCACTATGAAATGGAGATACAATAACGGCTCTCACCTCGTAGATGTGTTGCAGATACCAAATGAGATAATGCATATAAAGCATTTAGCATCTAAACTATGTGTTTAAGAAATGTCAGCAAAGTTTGTTTGCTATCAAATTTTGTAGTTTCTGGTAAGTATGTTTATAAGTATTTGACTCTTTTTTCCACAATGTTCTTCTGCATAAAGGTCAAGGTAGATTTGGAGGGTTAGTTCCAGGAAGGAGAGTCCTCACTCCTGATAATCTATCCATGTCTAGTTGACTATGGATGGTCACTCCGTGTCATTTGATTCTAATTAGGATGTAGATTTAACCCTAACTTGCCTTCACAGAAAGTATACTTTAGTGTTTCCCTATATGGAGACAAAGTTAGTTCTCTCCTTTCCACCAAAAGAAAAAAGGGGGTTGTTTGAGATTCAGAAATGTCCTTGGTATTGATTTAGTGCACTATTGTCCAGCAGAATGTCCCTCAATGACATAAATGTCTTATACTGTGTTGTCCACTGTAGTCACCATGAGCCATATGGCTACTTTAAATGTGGCTAGTGTAACTGAAAAGGCCATTTTTAATTTATTTAGTATTCATTTTTAAAATAAACGGCCACAGGTGGCTTAATGCATTTAGTATTGGCTATATGACAGCACAAATAGTGGAGGGAACCTCGCTTTGAAAGCATGAAACTTGGGCAGAGGACACTGCTGAGACTTGTACTTCTAGACCTAGACCACGACTGTTATTCCTCATAAAATAAAAACACAGCCAACACCAACACAGCATTTGCCACGTGCCAGGACACCACTCTGGGTGCTTTGCACATACTAACTTGGAAGGATTATTTTATCTCCATTTTATAAATGAGGAAACAGTAACTTGCCAAAAACAGTACTGGTAAGTGGACATGCTAGCATTCAAATATGGGTTGTCTAGATGAGATATTTAACCTCTCTGAGGCCCTCATTTTCTTTCTAAGCTAAATATGCACACACATCTCAGTATTCCTTTATGCTTTTTAAAAAATGTTTCTATTGATTTTTTTTTTTTTTTTTTTTTGAGCGAGAGAGAGAGAGAAAGAAGGGTGAGAGAGCTAGAAACATCAGTGTGAGAGAACTACATCTATTGGCTGCCTCCTGCACGCCCCTTACTGGATGGAGATCAAGCCCACAACCTGGGCATGTGTCCTGACCAGGAATCAAACCAAGACGTCTCAGTCCACTGAGCCATATAAGTCGGGCTCTTTATGCTTTTTTATGAAATAAAATTAAACACTCTCAGCAAACACTTTAAAAATATTATTGATAGGTACATATTTTAAATTAATTTTATCTTTAAATACAGAGTGCTAAATAATGATTTTAATTTTAAATTATACAAAAATATTACATGTTCCTCTTATGGCCTTTAACCATTATTCATTTTCACACATGATGAATCCATAGAGATTACTTGTATGGATTTCACTTGGGCCCAGCCGGTGTGACTCAGTGGCTGACCCACGCACCAAGAGGGAGTGGGAGAAATTGACATCCTCATTAGGCATCAGTCAGCCAACAAACCACAATTGAGCTCTTCTTACCTGCTCAACACTGCAGCTACAGTATATTAGCTTGCCTTGCTGTATAACAAACCACCCCCCAAAACTTAAAACAGCAACTATTTATTCAGTTCACAATTCTGTGGGTTGACAAATTGGGCTGGGCTCAGCTGGGTGGTTCTTCTGGTCTCATCAGTGTTCACTTGTGTGACTATAATTATCTGGTACTCTGTGGCCTCAATCATTTGTATGGTGGTTGGCTTCCTGTTAGCTGGAGCAACAGAGGTAGTTGGGCCACATGTCTGTCTTTCAGCCTGCTGAAGGCTAGCCTGGGCTTATTCACATGGTGATGTTCACAGTGGCCCAAGACCAGCCAGAGGGGAAGCGTCAAGGCCTCTTGATGTCTAGGCTTAGAACTTGCACAAACTGATGTTTGCCACAGTCTATTGACCAAAGTAGGACATACAGCCAGCCCAGGGTCAAGAGATGTGAAAACAGACTCCACCTCTTGATGAGATTAAGTGCAACCGATTGTGGCCAATTTTGTAATCCCATCATATAGTGAAAACCATAATCATATGGTCCCTTAATTATGAAACTTTCAGCCTAGTGGTCCCAGTAGAGGTTTGTTCCTTGAACATTTTCTGAAGGTTTGTTGTGGCTGCTCTTCGGGCCTAAGCAAGAGAATGAAGCTCTCTTATCTGTAATTTAAAACAAGATAAAGGCCTCTGCATGTAAATTAGTCCACTATTAATATGTACTTCTTATCCACACCTGTGAAGCCTCTGTCATACCTGGAGATAAGTTAAGAAAAGAAAGTTTTCTCTCTTTCCTTCTCCTGCCCAGTGGTTCTCAACACTAACTGAACATTAGAATCACCTGAAATTTTACTTTAATTTTTAATTGAATTTATTGGGGTAATATTGGTTAATGAAACTGTGTAGATTTCAGGTACGCAATTCTATTCTACATCGTCTGTGTATTGTATTGTGTTCACCACCCCAAGTCAAGTCACCATCCATCTCCCTTTTAGAACCTCTTCTACCTGCCCCTATCTGAGATTTTTAAAAATTAAAAAACCCAGATCCAACTCCAGATCAATTATATGTCAGTCTTTGGCCAGTAGAACCTTGACATTGGAATCTTAAAACAAGTTCAGCAGGTGATTCTGAAGTGAAGCCAGGGTTGAGAACCACTGCTCGTTGGTTTCTTTCTAAAGGAAGCACCCCACCCCAGCCCAGCCATTTTAAAGCCAAGGTACCAGCCTTCATTAGTTCTCTTGCTGTCAGAGTCAAAATCATCTGCACCCGACGTACCCCAATGGACAAGGGTGGAGGGAGTGCACCTTTGAGAAGACCCTGGATCGCAGCTGGTCCCCCCAGGCGCCCTCTCCCTGCCAGAGGGTCGCATTGTGGGAAAGTTTCTCGGAAGGGACCTCAGGGCCATCTCTCTGCTCTGGAATAGGTTCTTCTTCCTGTCAAACGACGAGCTGCTGGAGATCTTGTCGGAGACCAAGGACCCCCTCCGAGTGCAGCCGCATTTAAAGAAGTGCTTTGAAGGAATTGCCAAGCTGGAGTTTACAGACTGTTTGGAGATCGTGGGCATGATCAGCTCGGAAAAAGAAACCGTTCCATTCAAACAGAAAATCTACCCAGCTCACGCCAAAGTAACTATCTTTACCCATTTGGGGTTCTTTTCTGCCTAACAGAGCAAAAGGAGAGAGGCCGAGAGCATATTGGTTAAGCATCGAGGGTCTGCCTGGGTGTGGAACGTGGGCTCCACAGCTTAATGACTGGGTGACTTTGGGAAGTGACTCCATCTCTCAGAGTCTCAGTTTGCCCATCTCTAGAACGGGAAGTATACTGCAGTCCATGTGGCACACTAAACTGTGGAGGGATTTTAACCAAACTCGTGTGGAGGCAGTAGCAGAGTCGGATCCAAACTGAGCCCAGTAACTCAGTCAGACGGCTCGTGGGGGCAGGTGTTTTCAGAGGTCAATAAAACATGGAGTCAATGCCATCTAATTCTGATTTTTATATGTGTGCCCTTATACAATGAGCAGAGTATAAACTACTTCCCCTCGTGTGGGACACCCCAGCACCCTCACTGGCATGGGTAACCGATCTCCACCGCGCTCTGCTGATCCTTTTTGTGACCCGCCACCCATCATCTAGCTCATGGCCACCTGAAGTCAACAGCTACAGTGGCCTGAAATTCTGAAGTCGAGTAATTTGCTGCATGTTTGAATTACCTGTCAAGCTCAAGGAAATCCAGATGCCCAGGTTTCATCCCAGGTTACATCTTGAGTGGAAGGCAGGCTTTTTCATTTTTATTTTTTTAATGATCTCCAGATAATTCCAAAGCACAGTAAATTTGGAATCCACTGGAATCATGAAAGCACTAAAATATTCACTAGAGATGAGCAGTTTACTTTACTCACTGAAATATAAATGTCATGTCCTCCTGAGAAATTGTCTCAGAAAATTATGTGAAAGAAATGCATGTTAAAAATCTTTTATTGCACCTTTTACAACACACACAGTTCCTACAATAAAGTAAATAAATGCAAAACAAATAGTTACAGAATATTGGCTTGAAGGGGTGTGTGGGGGAAGAAGGAACTGTCCTCTACCCTCAAGGTTCTTTCTGCTGGTCGAGTAATCAGATAAACATGAGCTAGATCAAGAAGAGAAATAACCAAATGTGAGCACATGCATGAGAGAGTCAGAGACCCCACACACAAACGAGGTTCGGAGACAACCAGGGAAACCGAGGAAAGGTGCCTGGAGCTGCAGAGGGCGACGCAGGGGGAGCAGCGTGCAGTAAGCAGCAGTTTGCCCTGCCGTGTGCAAAGGTAAAACGTCATTGCTGGCGATTCTTATCATGGGCCAGGCTCCCAACTTAAATTCGTCTGTATCAGTGGTTCTCAACCTGTGGGTCGCAACCCATTTGGGGGTTGAACGACCCTTTCACAGGGGTCGTCTGAGACATAACAGTAGCAAAATTGCAGTTATGAAGTAGCAACAAAAATAATTTTATGGTTGGGGGTCACCACATGAGGAACTGTATTAAAGGGTCGCGGCATTAGGAAGGTTGAGAACCACTGTTCTAGATGGTTAAGGTGGGTGCAGAAGTTTCTCTTGACCGTGCAGGGTCTTGCCTGCCTTTAGGTCAAAATAAGTCCCACATCACTAGGCATATCTGGGGTTGGCTGCTTCTGAACCCCGACGGGTGCAAACCCTGGGCCTCCCTGCAGCCCGTGCAGAGGAAAGGCTGGTTCTGTGGCTGGGCTCCGCCCCTGGGACTGCTACCCTGCTGCCTGTCTGCCCGCAGGGCATGGTGGAAAAGTGGCTCCAGCAGGTGGAGCAGATGATGCTGGCCAGCTTGCGGGAAGTCATCAGACTCGGGATTGAAGCGTACGTCCAGGTAAGTGAGAGCGGGGTGGGCGGGCCCGATGGTGGTGCAACAGCAAGAAGCTGGGGAGAAGGTTGAATGGATCAGTTCTTTCTTTTTTATTAAATTTATGGGGGTGACATTGGTTAATAAAATTATATATGTTTCAGGTATACAATTCTACAATCCATCATCTGTATGTTGTATTGTGTGTTCAAGTCTCTTTCCATCATGACCTCTTATCCTAAATGGATCAGTTCTGACCGCTCCTCTGTCTTCTGTCGAAGCTCGGCTCAGTCCTGCCCAGTACACCTGACCCCTCTGTGCCTCTCTGTCCTCTCTGGTGCAAGGTTTGCAGTTAGAAGCAGATGACACCGGTGAGCCTGAAGCCTCTGGTTGCTGCAGGCCAGTCCTTTCTGTGAAATGAATTGATGGCAAGAGCCCCTTCCAATTAAGCATCCCCCCCAGGCTTTTCACTCACGTGACACCTGCCCTGAATGGCACAAATCATTAAGCCCCAGTGCTTTAGGTGAGACAGGTAGGACAGAGGCCTAAAAGAAAAGAACCATTTTAGCCAGCTTTAACTGTAGCATCTCCCAGCAAACAAAAGAATAGTCGGTTATCACCTTCCCGCTCAAGTGCAGGACTGACCTGCTGTCCCTCTCAGTGGTGTCCCTGGAAAGGAAAGGCCAGTGCTTTGTCTTATGATACACTCTGAGACAGGCCAGTAGGCCAGGAGGTGGAACAGGGAAACAGAACTGAACAGACTATCAGAGCATTTACAGCGGACACAGAAGGTCCCTCCCTGGAGACGACATCTAGGCCTCAGTTGTATTTCAGCTCCAGGCCCCAAGAAAGCAGTCAAACCAGGTGGGTGGCACCAGAACAAGTGCAGTGACTAATGACCCCCTACCCAGATCTGACCACTGAGTGAGGACCATGACCCCAAAGAAGCACACCCAGAAAACTGATGACTATTCCGCTGAAACCCTCCCCTGAGACCCTCCCCCAAGAGTCCCTCCTGCAGGAGAGAGAGAAAAGCCTCAAGACAAAGGACCCAGCAGCGAGCTGTTGGTCCCTCTGAGCCATTCCCTTCCCCCTCCTCCCCCCACAGGCAGTATCTCCTAAACTCAGTCCCCAGGAGACTTGCCACCAGGGGAGCAGCGGCTGCAGCAGCTTGACCCAGGCTGACCCTGAACCTGTCTCCAAGGCCCCCTTTCTCCAAGCCCAGCCTGGGCCCTCCTGTTGCTCCTATGCTAAGCCCTGCCTTGGCTCACTGTCCCAGCTTTAATAAATGTAGTCTCGCAGTCACCTGTGTCAGCGCTGGGCTCAGCAAGACCGGTTCTTCCCCAGAGGAAAGACTTCAGCACGAGAGAACTGCAGCAAGTGGCAAAGCTTCATTCAAGTACATCCGAGCGCCTCTCAGAGGGGTCACGAAGCCCGTGCCCTGCGTCTCGGTGCTGGCTCTGCCCTCATTCTGTCCCCCCTACGTGCTGTCATAATCCCCCTGCGCCATCCGTCCTTCAGCTGGAGGCCCCCAGAATCGCTAGGTTCGCTGAACTGGGGGGACTGTTAGAAGTCCCTGTACCTGCAGGCACCTTGCAAGACGTCGTTCTTTGGGTGCTGGGAGGAGTCATCTTTTTTTTTCCCCCAAAAAAATGTTATTGTTGATTTTGTAGAGAGAGGAAGGGAGAGGAAGAGATAGAAACATCAATGAGAGAGAATCACAAATGGGCTGCCTCCAGCACGCCCCCAGTGGGGACGGAGCCTGCAATCTGGGCACGCACCCTGACCGGGAATCGAACCTGCAACCTCTGGGTGCATGGGACCATGCTCAACCGCTGAGCCACAGCAGCCGGCTGGAGCCCAAGAGCCCTGCATTTCTGCTGGAACCCTCCCCTGCATTTCTTTTTCCCTATTTTGGTCTAACTTTAATAGCTGTTTTAATTTTCTCGTCTCTTTCCTTTTTTATTTAAGCTTGGGTTTTTGGTCAGTCTGTCCTTTCTCTGCCCTGCTCTATCCATCAACCACCTGCTCTAACCCCGGGGCTTGTGCAGTGGGTCTCTCCTGCACGGTCAAGGACCCACGCCTGGCCGGCCCTGGGCAGACCCGCTCAGCCAGTAACATGCTCTAAACCAAAAATTGAAGAGAAGCTGCTGCCTGTGCGGAGCTGCTGCTTGGACTGCCTCCGGAGCAAGTCAGCAAACAGTCTCTGTGTCAGACCAGAGTCGACGCGCTCCGCTCTGCGGGCTGCCCGCACCGCTTCGTCTCCTTTGTGGGTGGCGCGCGCAGTGGGCGCAGCTGCGCTGCACCTTCCTTTACAGAGCCGGCAGATCTGGCCCTCGGGCCAGACTTCGCCTGATTTACAGTTAAAAAGAAGTCGAGGGTATGACTAAGAAACTGTGGGGCAGCACTGCCAGACGACGGAGCCATTAAAGAGAGTGGATACTGCAGGCCGGTGGGGCTCAGTGGTTGAGCGTCGACCCTGCACCAGGAGGTCGCTGGTTCGATTCCAGGTCAGGGCACAAGCCCAGCTTGTGGGCCAAATCCCCAGGAGGCAGCCCATCAGTGTTCTCTCTCATCAATGTTTATCTCTGTCTCCCTCTCCCTTCCTCTCGCTCTAAAATCAAAAAAGGGAAAAAAAAGTGAATACTGCCCTGGCTGGTTTTGCTCAGGAGTTAGAGCATCGGCCCACAGACCAAAGAGTCACAGGTTCAGTTCTGGTCAAGGGTACATACCTTGTTTGCAGTTTGTCCCAGGCCCTGGTTGGGGTCATGCGGGAGGCAACCAGTTGATGTGTCTCTCTCGCATCAATGTCTCTCTCTCTCTCTCTCTCCCCCCCTCCCACTCTATCTGAAAATTAATGGAAAAATATTCTCTGGTGAGGATTTTTTTAAAAAAACTTAAAAATAAGAGTGAATGTTTCTGAACACCACCTCAGTTATAACTAGTAAAGTTCCTGGATAGGAGCATGAAGCAAACAGTTCAGAGTTGAGATTGTTGGTGATTCAGGGAGGAAGACATAAATCGGTAATCCCACAGATGTCAAGCCTCACAGTGTGAGGGTGGGGAAGAGTTTTGTTTGTGTTAAGGGGTGAGACGGTGGGGGTGTTTTTAGGAAGTCAGGCGAAGTCACACAAGGTGAACGGACCCTATGACATGCTCATCTTCCCAGGTCTCCCGCGATCGGTGGGTCCTGCAGTGGCCTGGCCAGGTGGTCATCTGTGTCTCCTCCATCTTTTGGACCCGGGAAGTGTCTGAAGCCCTGGTTGAAAACACCCTGCAGGTAAACGGCCTGTTGCAAAGCTTGAGAGGAGCCTGGAGCGTGTTAGGATGTGGATGGCATGGTGGGAGTGGCCTTGTTTTCTTCACATATATATTTTTTATTGTTGAAAGGATTACAGATGTCCTCGTTTTACCCCATTGACCCTCTCCTTCCCACTCCCACCCCCTCCTGCGCTCCCCAGCCTAGTGTCCCTGTCGATTGGTTGATCATAGATGCATATGAGTATTTGGTTTATCTCCCCCCCCATCCCTCTGAGGTTTGTTAGTCTGTTCCCTACTTCCATGACTCTAGTTCTTTGGGTCGAGAGCTTATTTCGTTCATGATGTTCCACAAATAAGTGAGATCATGTGGTACTTGTCTTTCTCTGACTGGCTTATTTTGCTTTGTTTTCTAAACAACAACAAAAATCATCGTGGCACTCAGCCCATGAGATCCCAGGAGCCAGGTTTCACGGGGCCTCTGGGCAGAGGATTCGGAGGTGGGGCGCCCGGAGCTTGCTACCGGCAGAGCCTCTCCAAGTCCTGGCCAGGCAGATCCCAGGCGCAGGCTTCTGAGACGGGGGCCTGTGCCTTCAGGGTCAACCTGGAATTTCCACCAGCCAAGTCTTTTACTTTTTAAAGTTCATTCTTGTTTATTCACTCTCTATTTTAAAATGGTGTCAGATGTACAAATAATGTTGCAAAAATAATACAAAGAATTCCCATATGCTGGTCATTCAGAGTGCACCAACATAAACATTGTATATAACCACAGGGCAGTTGTCCAAATCAGGAGACCAACACTGATACAAGAGACAGTACTATCTCATCTACAGCCCTTTACATGGGCTAATCGGATCCGCCAGGCGCCCCTGACGCCTCTCTGCCGGCTTCAGGCTCCAGCCCAGGACTGCGTGTTCGCAGGCATCTCGTTGTCACATCTCCTGTCTCCTTTTCAGGGGGTTTTGTTCATTCTGATTTACTGTCATTTATACACAGTCAAGTCCACCCTTCTTAGTGTACAGTTCTGAGCTCTGACACACACACACACGCATTGGTATCACCCCAGATCCCTCATGCCCTTGATAGTCCACCCTTCCCCTACTCCACACCCCTGGCAAGGGCCACAGCATCAGTGATGATAAGATCATGCAGCATCTAGTGTCTGTCAGCTGGCGTGGTGCGTTTGCGAGGCGTCTAGGTTCGTACGGGGGCTGCCGGGAGGGGGCTGTGGATGACACCCGGGAGTCCGGCTTCAGCCGTGGGTGGTGGGAGGTGACACTTTGAAGGGATTACCAGGGCAGAACCCAGTGTAACCAGCTGTCCCTCCCGTGTCCCTGCCAGGACTTTCTGGGAAAGAGCAACGATCAGATCGCACAGATCGTCCAGCTGGTGCGGGGAAAGCTGAGCAGCGGGGCTCGCCTCACCCTCGGGGCCCTCACGGTCATCGATGTCCACGGTGAGCACGCAGGCTTCCCTGGGGACAGCGGCCAGGCCTGCCTCCTCTCCTCCTGCAGGGAGGGACTCGGCGTCCCCGTCTCCTCTGTGAGTGAGGTGCGGGGCAAGGAGAGGAGCTGACGCTCTCGGCAGGGCTGGGTGAGACGGCGATGGGCGAGACCCAGCGCTGAGCCCTCCGTGTGCTGACCAGAGCTCGGCGAGCACTCTCCGGGCGCCCCAGGGGCCCCGCTGTGTGCTAGTGCCGGGCATGCGTTACCTCCTTTCTACATGCATTTCACAGATCAAGGACCGGAGGCTTAAAGAGGAACGAGCCTCTAAGGGGCACACAGCTTGTCAGTAGCAGAAGCTCTTCTGTAATTTGAATCTACGTCTGTCTGGTTCCAAACCCCGGAGACTGGAAATGGGCAGTGATGCAGGGAATGAGTGGGCGGGAGATGATGCATCCTGGCTCTTCCTGAAAAACAGAAGAACTGGGGTCTCTGTAAAACAAACCACCCCCACATCCTCACTCCATCATCCCCAAGGAAACTGGGGCTGGACCAGGCTGGTTGCCTGGGAACAGTGTCCCTTTGTGCACATGCCCAGCTTCCTGCTGGCATCTCGTGGCATCTTAGTCCCCTTCGGGTTGATGCTCATCTCAGTCTGATAGCGTTGGCATAGGCTAGCGTGAAGCTGGGCATGGGCTCTTCACTGGGCACATGTCCAGCTGGTAGGGACACATGCTGGTGTGGTTACTGCCCAGGGGGCCCCAGGTTGGGTTCACACACACACACGCACACGCACACGCACACTCTCCTCTGCAGGGTTTGAGGTTTCACTGCAACGTAGCAGCCTTCTCCTGTGGAGGGGCAGGAGACTGACAGGGCATCCCTTTGCAAAGCTGGTTCTCAGATCCTGATCTCAAGCTGCTCCACTTGTTCTGGGATCCCAGTAGCTCTTGCCCAGTGAATTACTTAAAAAATAACTGATGATTCCCAGAAACCTACTGTCCACACTTCAACTTCAGGGATCCCAGCACTGTGAGAAAATTAAATTAGGCTCCTCAACCTAAGCGAGAAAGGAGGAAACCTAGAACTGTACCTCCCAGCTGCATTCCAGGTGATGAAAAGAGACATCTAACCAGGGTTCACGGGCCCTTTACCTACTAACTGTGTCAGGCCAAGCAGGTTGTATTCTCCTGGGATATCCTGGAGGCCGGGAGCAGGCCCACAGGTCATGTTGGGGGTAAGATGGCATTTGGGGGTAACTACATATTGCAAAGTCCTTTGAGTCAGCCCCACCAGAGTCTGGGAATGATGACAACAGCTAATACTCATGTCACGTTTGCATATGCCAGGCACAGCTCCTTCCTCTCTGGTTCTTTGTATTCTTTCTTTCGGTCCATCTGCCCATCTACAACCGTGTGTCTGTGAATCTATACAGATGTGTGTATATGTGCAGTACACGAATCTGTATATGTAGTGTATCCACACACATAGAGATTCACCTCATCCTCGTCACAACCCTGTTAGGTGAGTGCGTGTGGTCACATCTTACAGGTGACGCTGCTGAAGGAGAGAGAGGCTGAGTCATTTCTCCAGAGTCACAAAGTCAGTTGGTGGCAGAAGCAGAATCTGGACCAGGCAGTCCGGTTTCGGGGGCCTCACCTTTACCTCTGGGTACAGACGGTGCAGCAGGCGCTCTGCCAGGCCCTCGGGAGCAGCGAAGCCCACGCCGGCTCCAGCACCCTCCGAGGGGTGGGTGGAGGCGAGGAGGTGTGACAGGTGTGTCTCTGTGCTCCGGCAGCACGGGATGTGGTGGCCAGGCTCTCCGAGGACAGCGTCTGCGACCTGAACGACTTCCAGTGGGTCTCCCAGCTGCGCTACTACTGGGAGGCGGAGGATGTGCAGGTGCAGATGATCACCACGGAGGCCACGTACGGCTACGAGTACCTGGGGAACTCCCCCCGGCTGGTGATCACGCCCCTCACCGACCGCTGCTACCGGTGAGCTGGGGGCAGAGCTCGGAAGGAAGGCCGTCTGGGAGGAAGCTCGGGGCATCTTGAGTGTCACCTTCACCCTCTACATTTCAGCTTCTCGGAGTTTTGAATCTTGCCCTTAAACACCAGAGTCTCACAGATGGGGGTGGAAATTAGGCCTTAGGCCAGAAATGAGAACCCAGTAAGAACCCTAAGGTGGTTCTTAATTAATGTGGTCAAGCCAACAAGCAGAAGGTGGGTGCCTGTCCTTGAAAATGGCTCAGTACTTAAGGAGAAAGCTCCCCAGTGGCAGATTGAAGATGGTGCCTGGAGATCCCAGGCCACGGGAGCCACGGGCTTGGCGAAGGGCCAGGCAAGAGTCTGAGCTGGCCGGCCGGAGCTCAGTGCAGGAGGGCTCTGCACTTCCCCGGAATTCGGAACATTAGAACCACAGGTGTTCCCTGGAATTCGGAACATTAGAACCACAGGTGTTCCCCGGAATTTGGAACATTAGAACCACAGGTGTTCCCCGGAATTCGGAACATTAAAACCACAGGTGTTTCCTGGAATTCATAACATTAGAAACACAGGTGTTTCCTGGAATTCATAACATTAGAAACACAGGTTTCCCCCAGAATTCATAACATTAGAAACACAGGTGTTCCTTGGAATTCATAACATTAGAAACACAGGTTTCCCTGGAATTCATAACATTAGAAACACAGGTGTTCCCCAGAATTCGTAACATTAGAACCACAGGTGTTCCCCGGAATTTGGAACATGAGAACCACAGGTGTTCCTTGGAATTCATAACATTAGAAACACAGGTTTCCCCCAGAATTCATAACATTAGAAACACAGGTGTTCCTTGGAATTCATAACATTAGAAACACAGGTTTCCCTGGAATTCATAACATTAGAAACACAGGTGTTCCCCAGAATTCGTAACATTAGAACCACAGGTGTTCCCCGGAATTTGGAACATGAGAACCACAGGTGTTCCTTGGAATTCATAACATTAGAAACACAGGTTTCCCCCAGAATTCATAACATTAGAAACACAGGTGTTCCCCGGAATTCGGAACATTAGAACCACAGGTGTTCCCCGGAATTCGGAACATTAGAACCACAGGTGTTTCCTGGAATTCATAACATTAGAAACACCGGTTTCCCCCAGAATTCATAACATTAGAAACACAGGTGTTCCTTGGAATTCATAACATTAGAAACACAAGTTTCCCCCAGAATTCATAACATTAGAAACACAGGTTTCCCCCAGAATTCATAACATTAGAAACACAGGTGTTCCCCAGAATTCGTAACATTAGAACCACAGGTGTTCCCCGGAATTTGGAACATGAGAACCACAGGTGTTCCTTGGAATTCATAACATTAGAAACACAGGTTTCCCCCAGAATTCATAACATTAGAAACACAGGTGTTCCCCGGAATTCGGAACATTAGAACCACAGGTGTTTCCTGGAATTCATAACATTAGAAACACAGGTTTCCCCCAGAATTCATAAATTAGAAACACAGGTTTCCCTGGAATTCATAACATTAGAAACACAGGTTTCCCTGGAATTCATAACATTAGAAACACAGGTTTCCCCCAGAATTCATAACATTAGAAACACAGGTGTTCCCCAGAATTCGTAACATTAGAACCACAGGTGTTCCCCGGAATTTGGAACATGAGAACCACAGGTGTTCCTTGGAATTCATAACATTAGAAACACAGGTTTCCCCCAGAATTCATAACATTAGAAACACAGGTGTTCCCCGGAATTCGGAACATTAGAACCACAGGTGTTTCCTGGAATTCATAACATTAGAAACACAGGTTTCCCCCAGAATTCATAAATTAGAAACACAGGTTTCCCTGGAATTCATAACATTAGAAACACAGGTTTCCCTGGAATTCATAACATTAGAAACACAGGTTTCCCCCAGAATTCATAACATTAGAAACACAGGTGTTCCTTGGAATTCATAACATTAGAAACACAGGTTTCCCCCAGAATTCATAACATTAGAAACACAGGTTTCCCTGGAATTCATAACATTAGAAACACAGGTGTTCCCCAGAATTCGTAACATTAGAACCACAGGTGTTCCCCCGAATTTGGAACATTAGAACCACAGGTGTTCCTTGGAATTCATAACATTAGAAACACAGGTTTCCCCCAGAATTCATAACATTAGAAACACAGGTGTTCCCCGGAATTCGGAACATTAGAACCACAGGTGTTTCCTGGAATTCATAACATTAGAAACACAGGTTTCCCTGGAATTCATAACATTAGAACCACAGGTGTTGTGAACTTCTCAAGTCTATGATGTTAGATCGTCTTTGACTCTGTGTTCTTCATAGTGGAATGTTTTTAATTACAAAGATAATACTTGAGTACTTTCTTCTTTCAAAGTCCTCAATCACTTGTTTCCTAGACTCTTTTTTCATTTATTTATCCCACTCGTTCTTCAACAGCCATTTCTTGAACCTTCCTGTGCATCACACATGACCTCCAGGAATCCTCAACTTAATGGGGTACAGGAGATACTCGGGTGATTCTGAAGTCACAGAGGCTCATGCAGGGGGCTGTGGAACCGCAGTAAAAACATCATTCATTTCTAACACGTATCTTATCCCTACACCTCGTGCCAGAAACTGCAGTAGTTTGCTGAGGATATTGAACTGAATCAAGCTCAAGAGTTTATAATCTAGTGGGAGAGATATATTTATTTCCTCCATTCCATCAGCATCACTGGTCTTTGGAATGTGGAGTTTGAGGATTTTTTATTTGATTCACTTACATCTGTATGTGCTCATTTGTTCATTCAATCTTTCATTCAAAGAAATGCTCGTGGGTGCCCCACGCGCCAGGTGCAGTGCCCCGCTCTGAGGTTGCTGCGCTGAGTGAAACAGAATTCTTCACAATGGTGGTCATATAATCAGGGGAGATTTCTAAACTATTTGTATGAGTTAAAACAAGATAAACCAGAAGCGCCCTGGCCGGTTTGGCTCAGCGGTTAGAACATTGGCCTGCGGTCCTGAGAGACCCGGGTTCGGTTCCCGCTAAGGGCATGTACCTCGGTTGTAGTTTGTCCCCGGCCCTGGTCGGTTGTGCGGGTGGCAGCCACTCAATGTGTCCCTTCACATCGATGTTTCTCTCTCTCTCTCTGTTCCTCTCTCTCCCTCCCACTCTACCTGAACAAAAAAATGGAAAAATGTCCTCGGGTGAGGATAAAAAAAAAAAAAGATAAACCAGAAGCTAGTTTCTTTCCTGTGTCTTAGGACTTGAGCACCGAGTTCTGATTTTCTTCCCCTCAGGACACTGATGGGAGCGTTGAAGTTGAATCTCGGGGGAGCGCCCGAAGGCCCAGCCGGGACAGGCAAGACAGAAACCACCAAGGATCTGGCCAAGGCTCTGGCCAAGCAGGTGGGAAACTGCTGCCCGTCCCCACCCTCTCCCGCCAGTCCTCTCCGAGCCCGTCCCGGGAAGCTGGCGTGAAGTTGAAGGGGGGTTGGCAGTGCCACAGGTGAGGGGCCCCGCTGCTCCTGTAAAACAGAAAGGAAGCAAGGAGCCCGCCACAGCTCACGCACAGGGTGATTCAGACGCGTGGAGACCCGTCCTGAATGTGCCCGTGTCCTCCCTCCAGTGTGTGGTCTTCAACTGTTCGGATGGTCTGGATTATAAAGCCATGGGGAAGTTCTTCAAAGGGCTGGCCCAGGCTGGAGCATGGGCCTGCTTTGATGAGTTCAACAGGATTGAGGTAACCCTGCTCCCGGGGCACAGGGTGGGACCGACAGGGGCCTTTTCCTGGTTTCTCAGCTCCTCAGTGACAGGGTACAGGTGCTCAGTGAACTGAGCAAGAACAGCCCGAGGGTGTAAACTGCCTGCCTGTTACCCGCGTGCACCCTCAGCACACTCGTCATTTCGCGGGCTCGTCACAAACGTACTAAGCAGTCACTGTGTCACATTTCTGCAGGTGTCCATGACACAAAGGTGGGAATGGCTTTCCATCTGGATGCGCGGAATCTGGCAAAGGGAACTAAAACTGAATGAAACAAGTACAATATGGCAGATATTACAGTCGTGGCGCAGAAGAGTTGTCACAGAAGAGGGGCCATGAGTTCTGTTTGGGTGGGGAACTGAGATCCAGACACACAAACATTCCGTTTGAACCAGCGGACACTGTTCAAATACATACTTTGGGCCAAGCATTATGCTACGTGCTGGGAAAAAGATGAAGTACTATGGAAACTACACACACACTTTCTTTTTCTTTACCAAAACTCTAATTGTAGTCCTAGTTTTGAATGTGAAAGTCTGGTCCCCAGGTGACTGGGTCCTTCCTTTGTGAAGTAAAGGGGCCGGGAAGGGGGGGATGGGCGTCAAAGCTGGAGCTCCCAGCAGCCTGCGTCCTCGCCCAGGTGGAGGTGCTGTCCGTGGTGGCTCAGCAGATCCTCAGCATCCAACAAGCCATCGCCCGGAAACTGAAGGTGTTCATCTTTGAAGGCACCGAGCTCTCTCTGAACCCCACCTGCGCTGTCTTCATCACCATGAATCCCGGGTACGCCGGCAGGGCGGAGCTGCCCGACAACCTCAAGGTAAACCTGAGGGTGTGTGAGGGCTGCACTGCAGTGCAGGAGCTCTGGGAGCACCCAGGGGTCTCACCGAGAAGCCAAGCTGTGGGACCGGGTGACATTATCTGGCCATGGTAAGGATCGTGGAGTGTGGATGCAGTTAGATGGTTCTTGGCCTTAGAACAAAACCACTCCCTCTCATGGGAGGTGGGGTGGAGTGGGGCAGAAAGGGGTGGGTAGATGGCAAACAGGAAGTGATGTGCGTTAGCACAAGGGTCACTAGTTCCACCGTCTCCAGGGGTCGGACAGGTGATGCCAGTGAGAGCAGCCGGCTGGGCACAGCGAGGACCCCAGTGAATGCCCCATCTGCAGACAGCAGCCCCCTTGGCCCAGCCCGGCATAAACTGCCAGACACCTCATCTTTCAGGGAAAGCCAGAAATTTGGATTTTTACATAAAATCTGATTTTTAGATTCTAGCTCAATGTGAAAAACAAAAAATTCACTGTAAGCCAAAGAAAATAGAGCTACTTATAAGAAAGCATCCAAGGTGGATACAGAGATCTCTGATAAACCTAGGCCGGGCCACATGGAGCTCCCCTTTATCACTGGGCTGGTTAATGGACACCTAAGCAGTGTCCAACCCAAAGCCGGCTGCCCCACCCAGCTAGAGAGATGGCAAGAGAGCGTGCTTGTCCCTAGTCCCTGCTGCTGCGCTGGCCCTGCTGCGGCTGGTGGTGGCTGGTTCAATTCCCAGTCAGGGCACATGCCCTGGTTGTGGGCCTGATCCCCAGTGGGGGGCATGCAGGAGGTGGCCAGTCGATGTTCTCTCTCATCAAAGTTTCTGTCTTCTCTCCATCTCCCTTCCTCTCTCTCTGATATCAATAAAGAAAAAAATTTTTTTTAAAAACAACATATAACCAAACCAATTTTACCTCAAGCTAATTAATATGAACAAGAGCTAAATTCCTACAGCACCTTGTCAATGCTGTAATGAAACGACATTGAACAAATGACATTATTCAAGGACCTGCTGTACATGATACTCCACTTGCTAGAATCGCATTCTTATTAGTGCCCTTGAGTCCTGTTCAGCCTCCCCTACTCCTGGGGATGGAGACGAGTCAGGGAGTCCCTCGGCGGTGGCACCTCCCCTCTAGGTCAACACAGGCCAATGAGAACTGTAGCAGACCCACATTTCTTATCACTTTTCTATTAATTTTTAGAGGAAGGAAAGGAGATAGAGAGAAACATAGACCGGCTGCCTCCTGTAGTCGCCCTGAGAGTAGATCAAACGCACATCCCGGGTATGTGCCGTGAATGGGAATCAAACCCACAGCCTTCAATGTATGGGACAACGTTCCCACCAAGTAAGCACCCAGCCAGGGCCACACTTCTTATTGTTACCCAGTTGCTGTAACTCCCGCCTGCACCCCTGGCGGCCAGCTGCCCTCTCAGACCTGCACAGGACACTTCCGTGAGACAGAGTGGTGTAGTAGAATGCACCAGCCTGGAGGCCAGGGTTCTAGTCCCGGCTTGACCTCCAACTATGGCAAGTCACTTCTCTAAGATCTAAGGTAATGATAACCTCTGTTTACTGAGCTCTGACTGCATGCTACACACTTTTCTAAGTGCCTCGCTTACATGGTATCATTTTTCTCATGGTAACTATGAAGAGGGTACAGTCGTTAGCCCATTAAAGACGAAGAAACTGAGGTCCAGCAGAGTTGCACAACTTGTCCACAGCTAGCAGGGACAGACAAGGCCTCGAATCAAGCTTGCTCGGACTCCAGGCGACTTCTGACCCTCGCCGGCCCTGCCATTCAGATTGACTCCTGCCGGACAGCCCCAGCTGACCGAAGCTCACTTGGCACGGAGAACGCCGTGCTTTCAGGCACCGGGGCTTCCGCAGTGTGGCGGGGCCAGTGTGATGCATGTACTTGACTTGGGCAGGGCCCATGGACCGCTCAGTGGGTCCATCCCACGAAGACGGTCCCACGGCCTTGACTCGGCCTCCAGCCCACTGTTCCTTGTCTGTCAGTGCGTGGCCTCGGTGATCAGATGTGCCTCCCATGTCAATGGCATGCATTCAGGTTCTGAATGGCTGTTTCTTTTCCAGGCCTTGTTCCGGACAGTGGCCATGATGGTGCCAGACTACGCCCTCATTGGAGAAATTTCTCTCTACTCTATGGGGTTTCTGGACTCCAGAAGGTACGCACATTGGTTTTCCAGGGCGTTCTCACAGCCCTGACAGAGTGGCCTGTTGTGCAGCGGATCCCAGGTGGGTTGCCCACTGGAAGAGAAATTCAGAAATAGGCTCTGCTCACAGGTGGATGCAAAGGCACCTCACCCGGCCTTGGTCCTGACCACGTTCCTGGCTGGGAAATGGCCAGATTCCCAAGAAAGGGCCGCCCCTTTCTCTCTGCACGCCTGGACCTCTGTTAAAGAAGGCGGCCACACCTCTGCTCCTACGACGCACACTGCACACGTGTGTGCTCAGACACACGCACGCACACACACACACACATACTCATTCCCAAATGGCTCAAGGCAAGACTGAAAAACATGAAATTATTCCGGGATTGAAGAGGAAATATTAGTATAATTTAGAATTAACATTGTTATCCAACTAGGTGCTACCCAGCTTCCAGGATGCACACAGAGACGCCTCTTGTCGCACGCACCTAGAGTTGCCCGTATCATCATGAAATGGCTTTTATTGACCCGTTTACACTGTCCCGGCCGTGGTCACTGGGTGCTTTGCTCGGCAGAGGTCTGCCAAGGCCCTCGGTGTGCTGTGGCCTGGCATCCTCATCTCAGTCCACGGGGCTGCAGACTTCCAAGGGCACGTGCCCCGTCCGAGGCCGAGCAGCTGCCCATCACGCGGGGCTTACTTCACTCTTCCATGAGATCTGGGTTACATCGGTTTACCCCTTCAACTCATCCCCTGACTCAGTTGGCAAACCTTTTCTCAGCTGCTCCTGGTGTCCAGCCCTGTGCTCAGTGCTGGTGAGCAGCACAGTCTCCGGTCTGAAGTACATCAGTCTTGCGGAGGGATTCCCATAGCGGGGCACATCAGCCCAGTAGGTGGGGTGACCCTGACCCGAGCCCCACTGGCTGAGCACAGAAAAATTCATTTTTCACTCTCTGGAAAATAAAAAGTGGGTGTTTATGATCTGGGGCGGTTCTTCCCCAAGGGAAGGAGCCTGGCTCCTCATGTTACTGCTACACGACACAGCGTGGAGGACCTCACAGAGGAGGTGTCTGTGGACCAGCCCTGGAGTGGCATGTCCCCTCTCATTCCCATGCCACTGGCTGGGACTCGGCGGCATGGCCACCCCTGACTGAGCAGCAGGCCAGGAGATGTGGCCAGCTCTGTGCCCGGGAAGAATAGGAATGGTAGTCCTTGAGAGTGTACACACATACATTCACATAAACATGTGAAAGTATATACACACATAACTGCTCACACAACATGTTACACATCTGTGTGTGCTTGCTTTTCCCATCCTACCGCTAAGGGTTTCAATGCTTCTTTAGACGGTCACGGCAACCCCGGCAGAAGGCCTTCAAACGGCAGGGCTTCCTCACCCAGTCCGCAGCAGGCCTGGTTTCGGAGGGCCAGGGCACGGGGTGTTGGGAATGTGTGCTGAGCAGGACCCAGTCCTCTCTGGGGTGTGCAGACACATGTCTTTACCCCCAGTCTGGCCCAGAAGATCGTGGCGACCTACCGCCTGTGCTCGGAGCAGCTGTCCTCCCAGCACCACTACGACTACGGCATGCGCGCCGTGAAGTCTGTGCTCACTGCCGCCGGCAACCTCAAGCTCAAGTACCCGGAGGAGAACGAGAGCGTCCTGCTGCTGCGGGCCCTGCTTGACGTCAACCTGGCCAAGTTCCTGGCTCAAGATGTCCCTCTGTTCCAGGTAGGCAGGGGGCCTGGGGCCCAGCCCCCAAAGGGAAACATTTCCTTGGGACCCATCTCCTGGCAGCCAGCATCCCCTTGCCAGCCACCCTCCCCCGGTGCTCGACAACAATGGTGACGGCAACACTTCTGTCTAGTCACCAGTTTTAATAAAGATGGTTTCACTGATAGGATAATAGTCACTCTATTATCTAGTGTGGCGAATTGATTTTATAAAATTCCGTGAGTTTCCCTTCATAACTATTGTAATGCCTGTCTTCTCTACGGGGCTGTCGGCGCTGTGAAGACGGAAACCGTGGCTGTCTCATCCCCAGGACGAGGAAGACAGCACCAGCTCACTGAATGTGTGCCGACTTCTACAATTATTTGGGAGGGAAGTCCTGTTGAACAGTGGTGTCAGAATATGTCGTTGTAAATGAGTTTTGGTGCAGGAAGCATGAGACTTGGAATTTTTTGGAGATTTTTGTAGATCTCATTTTAGGACAGTTAAAGGTCACACAACTGATAGTTCATCCTTTTTCCTCCCCTCAAATTCTGATTGCCAGGGAATTATATCCGACTTGTTCCCTGGAGTTGTTCTCCCGAAGTCAGACTACGAAGTTTTTGTGGAAGTGCTGAATAAGAACATCAGAAAGATGAAGCTCCAGCCGGTACCTTGGTTTGTCGGGAAGATTATCCAGGTTGGTTTCCTGGACTGGTGTGCACACACCTGTCACTGTGCTAAGTCAGGGGTTCGGAAGACGTGGCACTTTGGAAGTATGACAGTGATCGGAGTGCCTGAGGGAGGCGGGGAGAGACGAGGGCATTTTTACCTGTTATGCTTTCACTTCATTTCCAAGTTGAAGTTTAAAATCCAATATTTTTCCTCTGACTATCTTCTTAGGGATTTCTTTTTTTTTTTTTTTTTCTTTTTCTTTTTTTGGCGTCTTCCTTTTGGTGCATGGGCTTTGCGTTAGTCAGGACTTCCTTGGTTCTTCGTGATAGAAACCCAACTCCGATTGCTTAGTCAACAAAAGGGAATTTATTCGCTAACCCAACCTGAATAGTAGTGGGATGTGTTGGCCTCAGGCCCAGCGGGGTCCAGGTTTCTGTACAATGGATCAGGAGTCTGTGCCTTCTCCTCAGGCTGTCACTCTCTCTGTGTGGGAACGTCTTGGTTAGGCCCAGCAGCCTCGGGCTGAGACCGTCCCAGGTCCAAGCCCAGAGGACAAAGGGATCGGGCTCCAAGGGGCTCCAGCCAGCGGCTCAGGATCAGCTGTGAATGCCGCGGACAGTCCTGTCCTGTCCCTGAACCAGTGACAGAGAAGATCACTTATACTTCAGAGTGGTCCTGGCTCAAACAACTCGTACATCTCCGGAGGGCTTCAGTCAGACATGGCAGCACTTAGGCCTCAAGGAAGGACTTGTCCAGCAGAAATGCAATTTGCTGAAATGACCACTGTTCCTTTTGCTACAGGGAACAGACTGATAGTTGCCAGAGGGGGCTAGGGGATGGCTGGAGACAGTGGAGGGATTGAGAAGCACCGATGGACGGTTACAGAACAGTCACGGGATGTGAGGCACAGCCTAGGAAATATGCTCAATATGCTGAAGTAATTGGGTGTGGTGCCAGGTGGGGAACACTGTGTAAAGTATTTGATTATCTAACCATGACGCTGTGCACCTGAAACTAATACAAAATGATATCGAATGTAAACTATAATCAAAAGAAATTTTTAATGTAAAAGTAAAAAAAAACATATGAATAAAATGGGTCAATCAAAACGCAAAGGAGCCCATGGAAGTGGTGTGGTGGAGAGACGGGAGCACAGCAGTCAGAGCCCTGCCGCTCACACGCTCAGCCACGGGCAGGCCCAGGCAAGTGACGCCACTCTCCCGAGCTCAGTTCCCACGCTGGAGGGTGGCTGATGACCCCTGCACGGATTAAATGAAATAAATTAGGTAACTCTTGATGCTTAGCACGTAGACAGGCGCAGAGTAAATAGTAGTGCCAATCTCTTAAATAATCTGAGACACACACACATATGAATTCATCCAAGAAATATTTAAACAGCATATATGCAGAGGACTGGGGTTCAGCAGAGGTAGAGGTGACCGTGGGAATCCCCGTGACCGCTCACGCCGTTCTGGGAGATTTGCAGTGACTGACTTCTACCCCGGCTCCTCTCAGATCTATGAGATGATGCTGGTGAGACATGGCTACATGATCGTCGGAGACCCCATGGGTGGCAAGACCTGTGCTTACAGAGTCCTGGCTGCAGCTCTGGGTGACCTGAAGGAAGGTAATGCCCTTACCCCCAGCTTCCAGGGAGGGCAGATCCTCAGTCAGCCGGCTGGGCTTGTTTTTCTGGGTTGTTTGCTTTTTGCCATCCCAGGATTGTAACGTCAGAGCCAGAAATAGAACCTGGCACACAGACGTCTGCAAGCAGAAAAATGAATGGAGGAGGGAGCTTCCAGGGGATTGCATGTGTACATCATTCAGGCTGAAGGAATTTCTCTTGTGCAGCCGTTGGCTCCTCCAAGGTTTTGCAGTGAGAAATTCTAAAACACAATTATTCTAAAAGCAAATCACTGATTTCTTTTCTTTCCCTTTCTCTTCCCCTCCCCCCTCCCTTTAATGTAGAGGATGAGACCTCTGACTTTTGAATCAGACCCACCCAGACCTCGGGCAAATGACTAAATCTCTTATAGCCCCTGTTTTTCCAGCTGTAAACGGGATTATTGTGAGAATTAGGAGGTCATGCAGGTGATTGACCTGGCACAGTTCCTACTCAATACATGGAAGCTGTGTTTATTGCCAGAGAAACAGTCTGGGGTGGGTCTCTGAAACGCAAGCCTGTGCTTTGGAAAGCGGTGCTGAGCCGGCCATGCTCACGTGACCCTCCCGGGACTTCATTTCAACTGTTTTTCCCTAATAGCAAAGGACAGTCAAGTTGCTGTGGGATTCTTGAAGTTTTGGGAACTGACTTGGCCTGCATAACTAATCTGGGCATTTCAAACTTCAGTAATTGTGAGATTTGAACATCGTTTAGGAAACTAAATGAAGAGAAAGGAGGCCGCCCCACTTTGCTTTGGGTTCTGCAGGAGTGGGTCTCTGTTTCACGCGTGGCTCAGCCACTCCGTGGCCATCCTCGGAAGGGCCGTGCGGAAGTTACTCTCTGCAATTGAATGCACACGCCCTGCCGTCTGTCGGCCTGGACATTCCGGTCCCGGCGCGGCCGCCGTGTGCACCCCTCAGCGGGCACCTGCTGAGCAGCCAATGAAGAGGCGGGTTTTAGGCTAAACTCACCTTCCAGATGGAAAAGAAAAGTAACCATCATTTTCCAGAATCTTTGACCTGTCAGTTGTGTCTTCCTCTCAAGTCAAGCCACGGCTCGGGCAGCTGTGGGAGCCAGCACGCCGAGAGGCCTGGTGATGGGGCACCTCTCCCCTTCACGGCCAGTTTCTTAGGTCCAGGCAGATGTCTTTAGATCTGACCAGCACATCGCCCTGTTTGAAATGAGCCTCAGGAGAATGTATGGGGAGAAACTAATGGTTGTGATAACCTAGCAATCTAAGGCGTTGCCTATCCAGATAGCCCAGTCTGTAAAAAACTGAGCACACATTTCACAAGGTCCCTCCTTGGATGGCATGTTTGTAGGGTTGGGGGGTCTTTGGAACAGTCTTACCTGTTTCCTGATGTTCTGGTCTCACCAGAGCCTTTGTAACCCTGTTGTCCTTCCCGCCAGCCAACCAGATGGGGGAGTTTGCTGTGGAGTACAAGGTCATCAACCCCAAGGCCATCACCATGGGGCAGCTGTACGGGTGCTTTGACCAAGTTAGCCATGAGTGGACAGACGGTGTCCTCGCCAACGCCTTCCGGGAGCAGGCGTCTTCGGTCTCGGAGGACCGCAAGTGGATCATATTTGACGGGCCAGTGGATGCCGTTTGGATTGAAAACATGAACACTGTTCTGGATGACAATAAAAAGGTAGCTGCCAAATCTGACGCCGCCTTTCCCCAGGCAGAGGTCGACTCTCCCACTGCAGTGAGTGAGGGATCAAACTCAGCCCTGGCCATGGGGCTCAGCAGTGAGGATGTCGGCCCACCCACCAGAGAGCCTCGGGTTCAATCCCCGCCCCAGTCAGGGTCATGCGGAGGCAACTGATTGATTGATGTGTCTCTTTCACATTGATGTTTCTCTCTTTCTCCCCCCCCTTCCCCCTCCCTCCCTCCCTCCTTCCCTTCCTTCCACTCTATCTGAAAATGGATGGAAAAATATTCTCCAGTGAGGATTAAAAACAAACAAACAAAAAAAAAACAACAACTCTATAATAAAAAAATGTATTACTCTGAGAATAAATGCCTCCCAAGGAAGTAACAGTTATCAATTTGTAAATTATGCTTTTGTTTGCATCAGTAGTGAATGAGCCATGTGTATTTAGTGATAATATCTAGTAGTTAAAAAGCTTGGTGCCGGCATCAGACTGGACCACTAACTTTACAACTGAGCTGTGTTGTTTTGGACAAGTTATATAACTTCTCTGAACCTCAGTTTCCTCATTTGTTAAAAAGTAGAAATAAAATTGGGTAATTAAATAAGGTAGTACACAGTCCCTAATATATGGGATGTGTTTTGGTTATTCATTGTTGTGCAACAAGCTACCTTAATACTCAGTGGCTTAAAGCAGCCATCCACTTTGCTTAAGGTATTGTGGATTACAGATTTTTGAAGGGCTCAGCTGGGCTCAACTAGTCCTCCTGATATGAGCTGCAGCAGCTAGAGCTGGAGGCTCTGCATCCCAGGTGGTTGCTTCATTCACAGTCTCCTTAGCCCCCACCCCTTCTCTGTCTCTCTGTCTCTCTCCCTCTCTATCTCTCTGTCTCCCCCCCCCCCCCATTAGCACTCATCCTCCAGGCCTCTCCCAGTTGGGCTTGGGCTTCTCACTGGGTGGTCTCAGGGTTGTGGCACTTCTTGTGTGGTGACTGATTGCCAGGAGGCAGTAAGTGGAAGCTTCTAGGAAATTAAGGGCTACACTTGGAATGGGACCAGCTTCACTTTTTGAATTTTATTGGTCAAAGAAGTCAAAAGACCTGCCCAGATTGAAGAGGGTGGAGAAGCAGGCTGCTCCTTGATGGAGGTGGGCAGGGTCACCTGCAAGGCACTGTGAGCAGTCTGTGGAAATGCACTTGTCACATGCAGGGTGGTGGCTACGGAGCTGGGACACTGGGGCCAGACAGCCCGGGTTCAGCTCCTGCCCTGCCACTTACGAGGCGTGAACCTCAGACAAGCTATTCAGTCTATTTGTGCCCGGTTTTATCATCTATAAATGGGGGTAATGGTATCTACCTCACAGTGTTGTTAGAAAGACTAGATAAGTTAATATTTGCAAACTTCTCATAATAGTTCCTGCATATAGCAAGTGTTACATAATTATTAAAATAAAGTAAAATGTACCCCCATTTCCAGGAAGGTTGTCTATACTGAATATGTCATTATCAAATCAATGTTTTTGCTGTGCTTAAATTTCACAAGGTGCAGTGAGCCACGCTCACTGCAGACCCAGCCATCCAGATTCTACACGTGCACTAATCATAGCGTGTGCCTGATGTTGATTATATAAACAGAAATAAAATGTATCACGTGATTTGGACTATGTTAGTAGTTTTACAAATTGTACAAATGTAGCAGTTGGTTTTAAGATTAGAAGTATCAAGATCACAATCAGTGAAGCTCCTGATGACTCTTCTGGGCTCTGGGTGTAAGTCACACTGTTGCCAGTAGGGCTGTATGCTACCCTCCTGCATACTCAGAGACAGCACCGCGGGGCTGGCAGCCGGTCAGCTGGGCCTCCCTGGGGACGCACACAGAGACTGTCTCCAGGAGAGTTTGGGGTGGGTCGGGCAAGGTGCAGGGAACTGTTTAGCCACAGTTTAGGAAGAGCAGCAGGGAGCAAGGGCATTCCTCTTTCCCCCAGAGGCCAAGGTCACAGGCTGTCCTATCCCTGTAGCATCTCACTTGACCCCCTGCTGGTCTGTAGTTGCAGGTGTCCTATGTATTTGCACAACTTTCTATAGGGATATGCTGCTAGACATGAGAGCTCCCAACGGTCTTTCCTTCTCTTCCAAAAAGGATTTATGGAGATATTCTTGTCACTCTAGCCCTTGACCCATCCATGGGGCTTCCAAAGAAGTCTTCCATGGAAGACTTGGGCAGATAAAACAGGATGAGGTGTGCAGTTAAGTTCTATAGTACACACTGAGGAAGGGACCGTGAAACTCGGTGTGATCTGTTTAGCTTCTTCACCCGCACCTAAGGCTGCAGTTCGGTGACTCTCTGTCCTCCTGTGTAAAACTGTCACTCGGCACCTGCCGGAGCATTCTGCTACCCCTCTTCCACTTCACTTTTCTCCAAATCACTTTTACTCTTTTATACATTGTACAGTTTGCTCATCAGCTGCCTCTCAGCAAAATATAAAGCCCTAGAGGACAGGGATTTTGTGTTTTATTCTCTGCACCTGGCACACAGCAGGCGCTCTGGACACACCTGTGAATGGCTTCCAACCAGCTGTGTCCAGAGGCCTCTTGCAGATGGGGTTCCGCCTCTGCTTTGCCTTTCAGCTGTGTTTAATGAGCGGGGAGATCATCCAGATGAGCCCCAAGATGAGCCTGATCTTCGAGCCGGCCGACCTGGAGCAGGCCTCTCCAGCCACCGTGAGCAGGTCAGTCACCTGGGCTGGCACCCGAGGGAAGGCACGGCCTCCCCAACCCTGAGCACGGGACAGCTCTAAAAACCCGCACATGGGATGAAGCCCTGGCAGATCACACACATTATTTCCTGTCACTTAGGTTTCATGAAGTCAGTCCTCAGTCGCATTGCTGGTAATAGTCTCAGATCCAGCGAGCACTGTGGAAGAGAGCTTACGTTGTCCTAAGAGTGGTCCTTCACGTGCCCCTGGACCCAGCCATCTGGCTCCTAGGTGTTTTCCCACGGAAACTCTGGCCCATGTACAAGTTTTCACAGTGGCTCAGTTCACAGGGTCAACATAAGAAACATTCCACCTGTGAAGAATTTTCCGAATTTATTTGAGCCAAAACTGTCAACAACTGCTGGGAAGTAAAACTTCAGTGGGTTGAGATAATGCTCCAGAGAAAGGCAGTTTTGCACCTTATTTTATACCTTACAATCAAAAGAGGAGATGTAGGTGGGTTAAATCAATAGGTGACAGATCAGGGAGGTGGGAGAATCTCTGGGGTTGGAGGAAAAGTACAATGACAGACACAGGCATCTTTTACCCAGGTGAGAACAGGATAGTTAACAGCCAACAATTAACATGACAATAGCAATGAGGGGCTCTGAGGTCTCTGCCCTGAGGGGTCCGGAAAAGGGGAGGTTACCCTGACATTGCAAAGGTGGGTTATCAGTTATCCTAGATGCAAAAAGACAACAGACTCAGTTAAGAGGAAAGTTGACCTTTGCCAGGGAAGATGCCGGCCTAGGACATGACTACCCAGCTAATATGTTTTTAGTGCAAACGTTTTCATTTCAGACCATCCTTTGTGGTTATGTTGGGTCTCTGAGTTTGCAGGCCACCACCCAGGCCTCCCTCGAGTTTGTCAGATTTGGTGTGTGGCCCCTTTTGGCCCACAGCAGTAACAAGTACTTGGAAACAATTCAAATGCCCATTAACAGGAGTGAATGAATATGTAATAAAGCCACAAACTGTAATATGTATATAGCACTCAAAATAAATGAATTGTATTGACATGTAACTTTATGGATAAATCTAAGTTAAATATATTAAGGATAAAATCTTCACAATATTGTGTATAAAAGTAAATCCACAATATTACATACATCATAGTGCCCCTTTTTAAACAGTTAAAAACTAAAATAAATATATACACATTTTAGGAACATACAGAGTGCTGTAAGGCTTTGCGAGGAGGAAAGAAATCAAGGAACAGGTGAACGCGGGGTTTAACCGGCTGCGCTCCCTCAGGTGGAAAGCCAGGGGCAGGATAAGGGGACCATGTGGTTAGAAGGTTATTGTCAAGATTCTAGCATCTGTCTGCATGAAGCTTCGTGGGCACTTACCTACATTATTGAAAACAACGGGGAAAGGCCACGCCTGCCCTGGCTGAGGGGCTCATCTGGTTGGAGTGGTTCCCATATACCAACAGGTGGCGGGTTCAGTCCCTGGTCAGGGCCTGTACAGGAAGGACCAGTCAATATTTCTCTCTGACATTGTTTTTTTCTCTCTCTCACCCTTCCTCTCTCTCTAAAAATCAATAAAAACCATATTCTTGGGTGAGGATTTTTAAAAAAGAAAAAGAAAGGCCTTGTGTGTTCATGATAGGTGTGCCAGGATATAATTAATCCAATCCTGTGTGCCTGAAACCTATTCAAAACAAACTAAAATAAAATCAGCCACATTTCCAAAGACAATGTGAGGGAGTAGAAAGAACACATGGCGAGTCAGACCAACTTGGGATCCCACACTGGTCACGCCGCTTGCTAGCTGTGTGACCTCTTCCAGGTCACTTCCCCTCTCTGAGTCCTGGTCCCCTCATGCCTAAAACATAAACCATAAGGAGAAATATTTAGAGATGGAGGCCATTAGGACCTGACACAGTGCCTGGTGTGCAGTAGGGGGTCAGTATGTCATAGCCTGCTTAGCAAAATAAGCCAGTCAGAGAGAGACAAGTATCACATGCTCTCACTTATATTTGGGATCAAACGAACAAAATAAACTGATGAATAAAACAGAACCAGAGACATGGATGCGCGGCACAGACTGACAGAGCTGGGGGGCGGGGGGGGGGGGAGAGTGACCAAAGAACTTATATGCGTATATGACAGCCCATGGACACAGACAGTAGGGTGGTGAAGGCCTGGCGTGGGGTGGGAACTGGGTGGAGGGGGCAGTGGGGGAGTAAAAGGGGGGACATCTGTAATACTCTCAACAATAAAGGTATTAAAGAAGTGAAAGCACTGGTCGCCGGGATCGGCAGCAGACAGGAGAGGTCCTGGCCGTGACAGGCAGAGCAGCGGCGCACACCTGTGCCAGCCCACGACCACACGCTGACACTCTGGGACCCAGGACCTTCCACTGATGAGTTTTCCATGTGCCGGGCGAGGTGCTCAGCTATTAGCATCTTATTAACCCTAACCACAGCATGATGAACACATGTTTTATATCCTCAATTTACAGACAAGGACATAGAAGTCCAGAGAGTCAGGAAACCTTGCCCAAGGTCACTCAGTTAGTAGGTTCTGGGCTGGGGTCAAACCCGGTCTCTCTGGCTGCCAGGACCCACTCACATCACTGGTCTCCACCCTTCCTGACACAATCTGAGCCTTCCCTGTAGCCTGGAGCTGCTGAGCGTTGGCGACCTGACGCAAGCTCAGCCCTTCACCTCACCACCACCACAGCGTTTGCCTCCCCCGTGTGCTCGGGAGGCCAAGCAGGTGGCTGTCTGTGCTCCCCAGGTGTGGGATGATCTACATGGAGTCCCATCAGCTCGGCTGGAGGCCCCTGAAGGACTCCTACATGGACACCCTGCCCTCCAGTCTCACTGCAGAGCACAAGGAGTTGGTGAGACCCCGGTCCCTGTCCCTCCCTCCCTGGCTCCCTACTCTTCACCTCAAAGGCCTCTGGGAGAATGTTCACCTTCACAATTCTAGGAGGCAAGAAAGGGCAGGGGGTTCCCCACCTGTGCCGTTTCCTTGCTTCCTGGCTGTCACTTCTCCATCTTTCCCACGTGGTGGGGGTGGGGGGGGTGACAAGGTTAATGTCTCCTCTCTACCACTCCACACCCCCGTGGAGAACTCTGGTGCTTGAGGTGCTTTCTAGATGATGGCAAGGATGCCGCCCTCCCCCTTGCTCCACTAGCAGGGTGTCTAGAAGCTGCTGGATGGAGTTAGGGAGCCCCGTGCTCCTTCCCTCACTGCCGCCCCACACCCCAGCAACCCAGCCCACACCTCCCACCTCCAGGGCGCTGGATGCTAGAAATGCTTCCCGTGCAGCAGGGTTTCCGTCCCCTTCGCCCCTCCTGAAATGGGCGCGAGCATTCAGCTGAGGGGACCTGAGCGCACCCAGGAAGGGAGAGCTGAGCGGCAGCGCCTCTCCTCTGTCCCTGCACTGATGCATTTCCCCACAGACGTTTTCCACGGATGGAGCCAAGAAGGGTGTTATCCCACTGTGGGTCCGCTCTGGGGAACTTTGTAAGACAGCCCACTCCTGTCGCGCGTTCATGCCTGCGCAAAGTGTATAAGCGCGTACATGTATACAGACAGGTGGCGTGTGCAATTCAGAGACCACCCACACAGGACAGGATGCCTGCAGACACTCTCCAGGGTCCTTAGCACAAAGTCTAACTCATGAGAACCTCTGAGCCTGACCTGGCCCTGCCCACATCTCCAGCCTCAGCCTCAGCTCATCACCTTCCAGCCTCGAGTCTCGTTTCTGTCCCTAGGAAACCCCAGGTTTCACCACCTCACGGCTTTTGCACTTTTTGTTCCTCTTCCTGGAAATCTCACCCCATTTTCTCTCACAAGGGAGGATTTACTTTCACCGCCCCGGTTTCCTTTCAGAAGCCTTCCCTCGAAGCAGTAGAGTCCAGGGTCCTGACCGCAACTCTCACTCCCTTCGTCACCATGATTAATGGCTTTCCCCTAATTAGCAGCCCCTAGCAGCCGATGGGCAGCCGGGTCTGAGCACTAGCTCACCTGTGACTCAGTGTGGAGCCCTTTCCTTAACTAACAAGCCCTTGGCTACAAAAAAAACCTTCCTATTAAGTCCTCCTGTTAGTTCTTATTGTTACACTTTGTTTCCTGGTAGTAGTTTCCACGATTTGTAAGTATTTTATTCATTTTCTTATTTGCTTAGTTACTTACTGTTTGTCTCTCCTGCCCCTTAGTAAGCTTCACAAAGGCAGGGACCTTGTCTCTCTTGTCCATCTTTTATCCTCAGTACCTACTACACTGCAATTATTCAATAAGTATTTGTTGATTGAAAGAATACACCATCTATCCACGTATCTATGTATATGTATTCATAGATTCATAGAATGCATCTATACATTCATACATACCCACATATATGCGCACCTATGAATGTATTTATTTAGTGATGACCTGCCTACTTTCAAAAAAATATTCAAGTAATTTGCAGTGAGTCACAAGTAAGTTATAGGAAAAGTGAAAAAAAAAAATTAAAGTAGGAGGCAGAAGTAAGTCAAATAATTGTTTTAAAAAGTAAATGGACCCAGCCGGTGTGGCTCAGTGGTTGAGCGTCGACCCTGCACCAAGAGGTCGCCAATTCAATTCCCAGTCAGGGCACATGCCCAGGTTGTGGGCCCGATCCCCAGTGAGGGGCATGCAGGAGGCGGCCAATTGATGTTCTCTCTCATCGATGTTTCCATCTCTCTCTCCCTCTTCCTTTCTCTCTCTCTAAAATCAATAAAGAAAAAAAATTTTTTTAAAGAGTAAATGGGGTGGGGGCAGAGACAAGGGACTAGAATCATTATGCCCACAAGTAGATCTACATTTAGGGAATTACTGAAAATGAGCCTTGAACTCAGCGCTGCACTTCCCATGGCCACTATGCAGGACCCCTGCCTTAGAATGCCAGTCATTTGCAAACTGATTGTTTCGAATTCCTAACATTTTATAGAAACAAAGTCAGATATGATGTCTGGGTTCCTAACACGATTTTACACGTCCTGCAGCCGAGCCGCGGCAGCTCCGAGCCTCTCTGAGTGTCCAGCTCTGGGCAGTCGAGTGGAGGAGTGGGGAGGTCCTGTGGACTGCACAGTTTTCAGTGGGAAGCTGGGGGCAGGGCCTTGATGCCTGTTGTTTTCCCCCCGGTAAAGATGCACTCAAAGTAATCAGCACCCTTACCAGCATCTCCAACCTCCCTGAGGTGTACCAAGCTCTTGGTCTTAAACTCATTTTCCAACATCTTTAAATTTCACTTTCTATTTTCAGGTCAATGACATGTTCGTTTGGCTTGTCCAGCCCTGCCTGGAATTTATTCGCCATCACTGTAAATTTGTGGTCCATACATCTCCCACCCACCTTGCCTTCTCAATGATGAGACTGTATTCGTCTCTGCTTGGTAAGTGCTACCAGATGGGAAAGGTTGTGCCTTGGTTATTTCTGCTGCTCATACCCTGTTATTACCCCTATGAGCTACTCTGAGATCAGCATTTCGATCTAGAACAAGCCTTGGCAGTGTGGATGGTAGAGCTTGGTAGAAAGAGTCCTTGCATTTTGGCGTTAGCCTTGATCTTGGATTGACTGTCTGGGTGTTCTTGTGCGAATTACCCTATCTTTCTCAGGCTACGGTTCCCCATCTGTGCAATGCGATTGTAATTCCTATCCCTCTTTACCCAGGGATATCCTGGAGGGAAATTAATGTAGACGATACAAGTTAATGTATCTCAGAAAAAAGATTCTGAAAAAGATAAGATAGGAACTTAAGAAAATATACAGATACAAAAATCTGCATTTGGAAATCACACAGATAGACTGTAAAAGAACTGATCACATTAGGCTACAAACTAGGGAATTTATCCAGGACATAGGAATTATATAAATTATAGAACCATTGGTTCAGATGTGCTGGAGAAGTTCCTTGTAACTGTTGCACATAAATCAAATTTCACGGCATTCTACCGGAAATGACAACAGATGTATCCATTTGGAAAACTTTCATTGGAGCCATTTCTTTCTCAAAATTGCATGTAATTCAAACTCAAGGTGGATCTTACAACTTCTGCTGCATGAACATATTTTCTCAGCACATTTCTTCCAAAGACCTTATAGGTGTACAGCAAACATGTCAGATGGTGAACAGTTGAGTGGAGACTTACTTTGGTTAAATATTAATTTGGTTTTCTAAAATTAAAAGTACGTAATTTTCCAAAAGCATATAATGTCATATATTTGCATTAGTATCTGTAAATTTTGCAGATTTTCCCAAGCTCCGCTTCTTGTCCTTGTGCAGTATCTCCTCCAGGAAAGCAGGCACCACGGTGAGAAATGGACTCATTGTCCCCAGCACCGAGGGGCCGACTCTCGGCCTTCCTGCGTCTGTAGCTGTGAACCCTCTCAGAAGGGCTCGAATACGCACAGCTACTGAGAACGGGAGCTGACTTTGGGCACACACATCTGATTTCAGAGCTCTGACTTTTATTCTGTTGATGTGAAAATGCAAGCACATGATTGCTGACTCACAGGCCTTGACATAAGGAGCAGTGAACACATTTTGTAGCCTTTTGTTTTGAAGTAATTCCATGCTTAGAGAAAACTGCTAAAAGACAATAGACAGTCACATAGCCCTTTGCCTAGCTTGTAAATGTTAGCATCTTACAGAAACAAGGTGCAACGATCAGAATAAGGAAATTAACCTTGATACTATCTGTTAACTACACTATAGACTTTATTTGACTTTGATCTGTTTTTCCGCAAATGTCATTTTTCTGTTCCAAAATCCAATCCAAGATGCCACATTATATTTCATTATTGTATCTCGTTGGTCTCCTCCAACCTATGACAGTTCCTCTGCCTTTCCTTGTCTGCCATAACCTAGTCACTTGATAAATGCTGTCCAGTTATTTTACAGAATGTCTCTCAATTTTGCCTTATGTTTTTCATACTTAGATGAGTTCATACATCTTTAGCTCGAATACCCTAGAAACAATGACGTGTCTTCAGCATGCCATCAGGGGGACACAATGTTGGCATAATTGTTGGTGAAGGCTCTGATCACAGTAACTCTGGTTAGAGCCACATATCTCTATTGAAAGTTACTATTTTTTCTTTGTATTTAATAAGTATCTTGGGGAGGATAGTCTGAAACTATGCAAATATTCTATTTCTCCTCAAACTTCACCCACTAATTTTATTTCTTTTATTTAAACATCTTTATTGTTGAATGTATTACAGATGTCCCTCTTTTTTTTCCCCCATTGACCCATTCCTCCCTAATCCCACCCCCCTCCTGCCTTCCCCACACTATTGTTGGTGTCCATTGGTTATGCACATATGCACAGAAGTTCTTTGGTTTATCTCATCCTGCCCTCCCTCCCCTCTTCCCTTTGAGATTCATCAGTCTAACAATCAATTTGTACTTCCTAATTCCTTCACTTTTTCACCCAGCCCCCCAGCCCCCACCCATCTGGCAAGCAACAAAAAGTTCTCAGTATTTATGACTCTGTTTTTGTTCTGCTTGCTCATTTTGTTTGTAGATTCAGTTGTTGTTAGATATGCATTTATTGCCATTTTATTGTTCATATTTTTGTTCTTCTCCTTCAAGAAGACCCACTAATTTCAGCATCACTGGCTGATCTTGCCTACATATCTATAGTCATCACATTTATAAAGGCAAAAAGTTAATGGTGGTTGCCAAAGGAAGGGAAAGAGGATAATGGGGAGCTAGTTTAATGGGGTCATAGTTCCGGTTTTGCAAGATGAAGAGTTCTGGAAATGAACTGTGGTGATGGTTGCACAATATAAATGCACTTAATACCACTGAAGTGAACATTTAAAAATGGTTAGTGGTGAATTTCATGCTATGAGTATCTTACCACAGTTTATGTATTTTTTTCATTTTTAAAATAGGATTTTATTGATTTTTTAGAGAGAGAAGGAAGAGAGAGAGAGAGAAACATTGATGTGAGAGAGAAACATTGATTGGCTGCCTCCTGCATGCCCCCTACTGGGATTTGAGCCTGCAACCCGGGCATGTGCCCTGACCAGGAATCAAACCAGGCCTCTCAGTCCATAGAACGATGCTCAATCCCCTGAGCCACACCGGCCAGGCTCTTACCACAATGTTAAAAAATGGGGGAAAAAATGTGTGTGGATAAAGGATCTGCCATGTGATGGCCACTCCGCAATATCAACCCTCTCTCCAGGCCCCTCACAGATGAAATCCCCAGTTCCCATTGTTTGTGTCTGTTACATTCTACAGCTTTTCTTCGGGTTCCCTTGCTTTTAGATGAAATCAAGGAAGTAAAAGAAGATGAAAGTGATCTGTCTGAAGGTCTGACAAGCCAGCAGATCTTCCTCTGGCTGCAGGGCCTGCTCCTCTTTGCTGTGGTGTGGACCGTGGCCAGCACCATCAACACAGACAGCAGAAAGAAATTTGATCTGTTTTTCCGCAACCTGATCATGGGCATGGATGATCATAACCCAAGGCCCAAAAGTGTCAAACTCACCAAAAACAACATCTTTCCAGATAAAGGTAATTTAGTACTTTGTTGTATGTCTCACTATAATTGTTTGGATCCTATATTCCAAACCCAACAAAAATGTGTGGACCAAGTAAAGCCTTTCTTCACGAAAGCCAGGGAGGATCTGTGGCTTGCCTGGGTGAGTCCAATTCTTCAAGCTGGCCCATATATGCAGGGACATATGCCCCTGAGGCAGGGTCTTATGGGGTATTTTAAATTCTACTTTAATGTAGAAAAATTTGATGTAACATTATTTTTCTTTGCAAAATTACCTGTAATGACCTCAGTCAAACAGGCCCCAGGAAACACAATGAGAACTGCAGCCATTTTTGTTTGTCTAACCCTTTCTAGTCCTGTTGCGTGTGTTCATAAGGGTCGTATTATCATTATAGTATTAATATTCCTTTTAATGTTGTCACTGAAATCTAGTATGATATTGAAACATTTACAACTTTGCTATAAACATCATCTTCAAATGATCACTTTAATGCTCTATTAATACTGTCTTCCATGTGTGACATCATTTACTAAAAGATTGGAAAATGTTTTTATAAGTAGCTTTTACTGTACATGACACATTTTGCTTATCCATTTATCATCCATTGATGGACACTGGGTTGCTTTCGTCTTTTGGCTATCATAGATAAGGCTGCTATGAACATGGGTGTGCAAATATCTGTTTGATTTTCACATTTTCAGTTCCTTCGAGTATATGTGCAAACATTGAATTCCTGGATCATACGGTAATTTATGTTTCTTTTTTTTGATGAGCTGCCACAATGGTTTCCACACAGGTTGCACCACTGCACATTCCCACCAGCGACGCACGAGCATCTCAATCACCCCACACCCTCACGTCTGTTCCATTGTTGTGTTGTGTTTACAGTAGCCATGCTGATGAGTGTGAACTTCATTCTTAATTTTTTAAGGAAAAACATATGAATAGATCATATAATAAGAAAGATATAACTTCTAGTAACCACTGGTCATGTCACTGTCTCTATCACTTTGCCTTTTGCAGGGTGTGATGTATTTGGAACCAGGCAGTATGTGGGCTTTCAGGTTGGCCTCTTAGTAAGTTTCCTTCATGTCTTCTGTGCCTTGATAGCTCCTTTCTTTTTATCCCTGAATAACATTCCATTGTATAGATATTTATTGATTCAGCTGTTGAAGGACATTTTTGCCTCTTCCGGTTTTTGGAAAGTGGGAATAAAGCAGCTATAAACACTTGTGTAAAGGTTTTCGTGTAGACTTAATTTTTCAGTTCATCTGGTGAACACCTTGGAAAACAACTAGTGGATCATAGGGTCAGCCTGTGTTTCACTTGGTAAGAAACGGCCAAGCTGTCTTCTAAAGCGGCCGCACCCTGTTGCGTTCCCACCAGTAGTGAATGCGAGTTCCTGTTGCTGCACACCTTGGTCGCCTCTGCTGTTGCCAGTGTTTGGATTGTAGCCATTCTAATAGGTGTGAACTAGTAGCCCACTGTTTCAGTTTGCAATTCCCTGCTGGCGTATGAGGGTGAGCATCTTTTCATGTGCTTATTTGCCACCTATATGTCTTCTGTGGTGAGGTTCTGATCAAATCGTTTACCCACTTTTTAACCAGGTTGTTTGTTTTCTTATAGTTGCATTTTAAGAGTTCTTTATAAGTGTTTTAGATATGTCCTTTATCAGATATATGTTCTGTAGATATTTTTTCCCAGACTTCGGCTTGTCTTTTCATTCCTTTAACAGTGCCTTTTGCAAAGAAGACTTTTTAACTTTAATAAAGTTTAACTTATCATTTTTTCTCTTCTTTTGTGTATGTATTCTATCTAAAAAGTCACCATCAAATCCAGTGTCACCTAGATTTTTTGCTACCCTATCTTCTAGAAGTTTTATAGTTTTGCATTTACATTTAAATTTATCCTTCATTTTGAATTTATTTTTGTGAAATGTGTAAGATTTATGTCTAGATTGTTTTCCATAGATGCCTGTTCATTCTAGAACCAGTTGTTGAAAAGACTATTCTTCTCATTGAATTGTCTTTGCTCCTTCTTGAAATATTTCTTCACTATGTGTGGGCTTATTTCTGGTCCCGCTTCCAGTCTGTTTCATGGATCCATCTGCCTCTTCTTCTGCCAAGCAGGCCTCCATGACTGCAGCTTCATACTAAGCCTTGAAGCTGGGTAGTGTCGGTCCTCAGCTTTATCTTCGAACCATGCTGGCTCTTCCGGTTCTTTCACCATTCCATATGAACTTTAGAAACAGTTTGTTGGTATCCACAAAATAACTTGCTGGGATTTCTACTGGGATTGTCTTGAATCTATAGCTCAAGCTGGAAAGGACAGACATCTTTAACAATTTTAAGTCTTACCAACCACAAACATGGATCATATTTCCATTTATTTAGATCTTTGCTTTCCTTCATTGGCATTTTGTAGTTTTCCTCATGTTGCTCTTGTACAATTCTTACTAGGTTTATTTCCAAGTATTTCATTTTTGGGGTACAAATGTAAATTGTATTGTGCCTTTTATTTCAAATTTCAATTTTTCATTTCTGGTATATAGGAAAGCAGATGACCTTGTATAGTTGTTAATTTGTATATTAACCCTATATCCTTCCACCTTACTATAATCACTATAAGTTCCAGGAGTTTTTTTGTTGATTTGTTTTCAGATTTCCAAAATAGATAATCACATCAAAGTTTCCTCTCTTTCATCCCAATTTTTTATTTTATTTTTTTGTCTTATTACTTTTTCTAGGACTTCCTGTTTGATGTTGAATAGGTGTGGTAAGAGGAAACATCTTTATCTTGCTCCCAATCTTAGGGGGAAAGCATCTAGTTCTTGACCCTAAGTATGCTGTTAGCTGTGGGTATTTTGTTGCTATTCTTTATCAAGTCAAGGACATTCCTCTCTATTCTTTGTTTGCTGTGAGTTTTTATCATGAATGGGTGTCGGATTTCGTCAAATGCTTTTTCTGAATCTATTGATAGGATCGTGTGATTTTTCTTCTTTAGCCTTTTGATGTAATAGATTATATTAATTGATTTTCTTTTTTTAAAATTGATTTAAGACACAGAGAGAAACAAACATCAATTTGTTGTTCCACTTATTTATGCATTCATTGGTTGTTTCTTGTATGTGCCCTGACTGGGGAACAAACCACAACCTTGGCTTATCAGGATGATGCTCTAACCAACTGAGCTACCTGGACAGGGCCACATTAATTGATTTTCAAATGTTGAACCAGCCTCACATGCTTAGAAAAAATCCCAAGTATTATACACCACTTGATTATGGTATATAATTCATTTTATACATTGTTGGCTTTGGTTTGCTAATATTTTGTTGAGGATTTTTGCATCTGTGTTGATGAGAGATGATTGATATTTAGATTTACTTTCTTGTAAAGTTTTTTCTGTTTTGGTATTAGGATAATACTCACTTCATATAAGAGCCAGGAAGCCTTCCCTTTGTTTCTATCTTCTGGAAGAGATTGTAGAGAATTGGTATCATTTCTTCCTTAAATTGGTTCACCGGTGAACACATTTGGGCCTGGTGCTTTCTCTTTTGACATGTTTTTAATTGTTGATTCAATTTCTTTAACAGATATAAACCTATTCAAATAATCTATTTCTCCTTATATGAGTTATGACACATAATGCCTTTCAAGGAATTGGTCTATTTCATCTAGGTTGTCAAATTTGTCGTCATAGAGTTGTTCATGATATTCCTTTATTATTCTTTTAATGTCTATAGAATCAGTAATAATGACCCCACTTTCATTTCTAATAGTAGTAATTGTTATCTTCTCTTTTTTTCCTTGGTTAGCCTAGCTAGAGGTTTGTAAAGTTTGTTAAATATCTTCAAAGAAATAACTGTTACTTTTAAGTATTCTCCATTAGTTTTTTGTTTTTAATATACATTTTAAACATTTTTTATTGATTTCTAGAGAGGGAGGAAGGGAGAGAGAGAAACATTAATGTGAGAGAGAAATGGATTGGCTGCCTCCTGCATGCCCCCTACCGGGGATTGAGCCCACAACCCTGGCATGTGCCCTGACTGGAATCAAACCAGGACTTCTTAGTCCATGGGACAATGCTCAGTCCACTGAGCCATACCAGCCACACACATTTTTTTGTTTTTAATTTCATTAATTTCTGCTTTACTTTTATTTTTCTTCTGTTTATTTTGAATTTAATTTGCTCTTTTTTTTTCTAGTTTAATTTCACTGTAGTCTGAGAGTACACATTGTATAATTTCTATTCTACTCTTAAATGTTTTAAGGTGTGTTTCATAGCTCATAATACGGAGTAGCTTAGTGACCGTTCCATATAAGATTGAAAAGAATATATTCTTCTGTTGTTGGATAAAATAATCTAAAATATCAATTAGATCCAGTTGAGTGGTCATGCTACTGTTCAGTTTAACTATATCTTCACTTATTTTTTTCTGTGTGCTGTCAATTACTGATAGAAGGGCCTTGAAGTCTTCATCTATAACATTGGATTGTTTTTATTTTCCCTTGCAGTACTATTAGTTTGCCCAATATATTCTGGTGTGTTTTTTTCACATTTGAAGTATGAAAATAGTATCTAAAATGTAAATATATAATTTTTATTTGGAAGTGAGATTGGATTTTACATATAAATACATACATATAGCAGTTTTTTGTTTTTCATATGCTCTGATTTGCTTGTTGGTGTTCTTTTTTATTTTAATTTTTATTTGTATTTATTTATTTAACCTTTATTATTGAAACTATTACAGATGTCCTCTCTTCTTTCCTCCATTGACCCCCTTCTCCCCACTCCCACCCCCCTCCTTCTTTCCCCAAACTATTGTCTGTGTTAATTGGTTGTGCATATATGCATATAAGTTCTTTGGTTCATCTCTTTCTAGCCCCTCCCCAACCACTGTTTCTCTGTGGCTTGTCAGTGTGTATCTTACTTCCATGATTCTGGATCTACATTGATGGTCAGCTTATTTTGTTCATTATATTCCATAAATGAGATCATTTGGTATTT